GCTCGTGCGTGTTCCTTGATGCTTGAGGAAATAACAGCGTCTGTCAGTCACCCGACGGCGGGACTCCGGGGTGACACCGCTAGGCCGTCCCCAGACCTTAGAAATCCCCCTGCAGACGGGCGCCCGGTTGATAAAGATGAGCGGGGGCGGAGGGACGGGGAAGGGGATAGAGATGTCTGTGCCTCCCTGGCTGGCTCCCGCCCGACCGCTGTCAAAGAAGAGCTCCGCGTCCCACCCGGCTGTCTCAGACCGGAGCCCGTTGGGGCCAGGCCCGGACGGCAGTTCTCCTCAGACACCTCCCGGGCAGGCCTCGGGCCCCCGCACGCCCGCTTCCTGCTCGCCCCGCGGGCCCGGAGGCTTGTGGGTAATGGGGGGAAAGGCGGCGCAGCCCGCTCCCCGACCCCGAGGGCTCCCGAGGGCTCCCCGCCCATCAAGTGCCCGGCCCTCGCCTGCTCGCCGGCCACACCTCCGCTTCGAGGGATGGGGGCGTTGGTACTCGTCCAAGCTCACGCATGCTGGAAGGAGAGGGAGGAAGCGGGAATCGAGATCCTGTTACCCTATATCCACCTCCCCCACCCCCCCATCCTAGGAAACTTATGTGAAACAATAGAAGGTCTCAGGTGCGTGACACGGTAAACGAGTCTTGCAGGAGTGTGACGGTTTGGTGATATTTCCTGGGGCCTGGGGATAATGAATTAGGACGCGGCAGCGCAGACGTGAATGTACAAAGGAAACACAGGCAGCGAGATGAGGAAACCAATACTCGGTTCCGAGAATCATGAAGTCATATCACCCACTAGACGTTAGACTCTCCACCGACGTTACAGTGCGGGACCTATTTGGTACTGTTACGGGCAATTCCTGCTATCTTTATCTGTAAATACCGCTTAAACAGGAAATTTTAAAAGTCCTACATATCAATGATTTTCATGGTTACTAACTATGGATTCGTTTTTAAAAAGCACCGCCCTGTTAATAATGCTAAGTTATGATATTTAGAATTAGGATCTCCATTACTATCCTTAACTATTTATACACCTATACTTGTGTGGTTGCTATGCTTGTGATACCAGAAGTTAAAGGAATCAATAAAAGCACATTTTTCTTTGTTTTAAATGTCTTTTTAGAACACAAATCTCCAAAGGGGATTTGTGAACTTATTTCAAATGTTTGATTCTACCTCCTGGAAAGAGAGGTTAAATTGGTCTTTTTTTTTTTTTTCTTTCCTAAGATCCTTTCTACCTCCATCTTCTTTTCCATCTTCCTGTCTTTCTTGCTTTGTTGATAAGCCGTTTCCTTGGCCTGACACTTGGATTGTCCCCTTGAGGAGAATGTGGAAAATTATTCCCAGGGATTTTATTTTAATCTGCTTCTAAAGCTGTGCTGTCAAGAGTTTAAATTTATGTGAAGTAAATGCACAGTCTTTTCCTGCATAAGATATATATTGTCAATAATATTTGGTCTGGAGCCATATTTAGAGAAATAACTATTAAAAATAATAAATTCTATTTTTAGCATCTAACATGAGGTTCAGAACATGCTTTCTCCATAGAAAGTGAGCAAATAGCTCATTAAAGAAAGCAATTTACAATTCTCAGGGCCAAGGTTAGGGAGGAAAAAAATTGTTTTTCTCTTCTGAAGATTATATTAAGAAGCTCATTACATGATAAATAACTTATCCTGAAAGTAAAAAAAAAACAAAAAACCCACCGGGTCTGGTAACAGAAGGCAGACACTGCTTTGAACCAATGGATTTCAATAAGGAAGATTCTTAACCGTTCCCTTTTTAAAATGGGATTGCTGACATATGGCCATGGTAGAAAGTCTAGCTCATCTTTCAAATACTGGGTTTGGAATAGCTCGTTTGGTTTATGAATACTTAATGATTTTCACTGTGCCTGGTTGTAAATGAATACAATGCATGAATAAGAATAATTTCCCGGTATAAAATGTCTCCCAGGGAACTGAGAGGAATATTTTTGCATCTTTTATGATCTTTTCCAGAAAAGTACATGTGCATGATAATGCAGTGATTAATTTATGAAATTAATGTGAAAAGTGTACCTACCTAGTCTTTTAGAGTTCAAAATTTACCATTGGGAATTTTCAGGGAAAGAAAGGTACAGAAACCAAAGCTTTATAGATTTTAATTCTAGAAAAGAGACCATGAAGGGAAGCCTTTATGTGGAAAGTTGGCTATCAGACATGCACAATGGGCCCTCTAGTGGCCACATCGAAAAATTTTGCCCATTTAACATAGTTGATCTATTTGGTTATTAGCAAAAAAAAAAAAAAAGCTTTGTGGATTAAAAGCTGCCTTCATTTTTTTTTAAAGAATGAAATTTTATACCCGTCAGCTTTTATTCTTACAAATGCGCAGCCCAGATGAATAAAGTTTGTGGTCAGTCACATGCTAAGAGAAGCGTTCGTGTGGAAGCGATGCCTTCCTGTCTCGTGTTAGTCAAAGAAGAGCCACCAAAATTGTGTTTTCCTTCTAGAGTCAGATTAAATGGATGGGTAGAGATAAGTGGGGAGAGGAAACATTTTTACATCTTTCACGTTCCAAAAATGACTCAGTTCCCCAGCCTAGGAACTGAAGTGCCCCCAAACCTGCAGTGCTAATATAACCGCACAACTACTATAATATACATGTTAAATACTGAGATTTCTACAATATTGAACATAAACAACGTCTGCTAAGAGAACATTAATAAAGCAGTTTTCTTTAGTGGAGTTCATATTTCCATATGCAGATTTCACAATATTCCAGTTTTTGACCCTAGAGATAGGAGAGGAATGTTTTCCTCACCATTCCCGCCCTTTCTGCCATTCCCTCTCCCTGCTATTTTTCCCCGCCCGCAGTTGCGGAGTTGGAAGGTGGAAGGGGAGACATCAAAGTGATGTAATTGGTGACTCCCAGATGGTTACCATGGCGACTATCAGGCATATTACTCTACTGGTAGAGTAAGAGCTTCTTCCATCTAGTCTTCAAGAAAGCGTTTTGGGGGGGAGGGGGCGGACGGATGTGAATCCACAGCCTACAGAAGACGGTCAGGCAGGGTTGAGCCTCCCAGCACAGACAACTCCTTGAACAAAACCCCGTAGACGAGTCGTTTCGCCGGTGGGAACCGGACTTCGCTGCCTCCTAGGCGGCCATCGCGAAGGACGCCCTCGCGCCCCAGAATCTGCGAGCTGACTGGCGGGTGGTGTCGTCACTCACAGTGACGTGATGGCGGAGGAAAGAGGTGGAGCCATAGAGACTTGGCTTCTGGCCCTTCTAGCTGGGGGAGCCGGGGGAGGAGGGGCATTGGGAAGGCACTGGAGGACTGAGGCAGCCGTTCCGGGAGCCGGCCGGAGGAGGTAGGGGCGGGCGGGCCAAGTCCTCAGGCTGTTACTCGGTGGACCGCGCCCCTCCGTATCCTGATCCTCCCATCGGCGCCCAGATTTCCCATCTTCCAGGCCCCACCCCACTCTCTCCTCAGCCCCTGACCTCGGTCCCCTACCCGCGCCTCAAATTTTGAGCTCAGCCTCCATCCCCCGCTCCTTCTGTGCTTCATTTCCTCATTTCTTTTCAGCACCCTGCGCCCCGATGCTCCTCGCCTTCCTTCCATAAACTCGGACCGCCAAAGCTCGTGGTCCCACTGCCTGCACCATCCCCTTTCCAAAAAAAAAACAAAGACACCGCCCCCCCCCCCCAGACCCTACCACAGCAAACACAGCCCACCAATGCACAAGGCGCACAAAAGCCATCTGCTGGGGAAGCCGAGGGCGCCTTTTGCCTCCGTGTCACCGAGAATCAGAGGCAAAGGTAACCCGGGGAGCCTGGGGCCCGGGAGAGCTGGAGGGGCGGTGCGGAAGCGCAGGCGGGGCTCGCCGCCGGCCCCACCCCACCCCGCCTAGGCCCCGACCCCGACCCTCCCCGCCTCGGCCTCGGCCCCGCCCTCCTGGGACGTGGTTGCTCAGAGCAGATTAACTGTCCCCCTCCAACAGGAGACGACATGCCCTTGGTCTGGGTCCAGATGCTCTGGAGTATCATATGAATTCTTGTTCAAGACGTCAGCTCTATGGTTGAGGTTTCCGACCAGGAGGGACTGGAACTCCTTTCCCAGCTGCAGGAAAACAGTTGACAGTGTGAGAAACCAATTCTCTTGCTGCCTATGGCTGAAAAGTGCCCGTAGGGTGGTCAAAAATTTTGGCAAAGCTTATTTAAAGGTTTAAAGCTCAGTTTGGGTTTCCCTTGTGGCTCAGCTGGTAAGGAATCCGCCTACAAGGCGGGAGACCTGGGTTCGTTCCCTGGGTTGGGAATATCCCCTGGAGAAGGGAAAGGTTACCCACTCTGGCCTGGAGAATTTCATTGACTGTATAGAGACACGGCAAAGAGACACGACTGAGCGACTTTCACTTGGGCTCTTTAGAGAATCCTTAGCATAGGAAAATAGGCTTCCTCCACTTCTGAATTATTAGTACGTACCTTGCATATTTTCACTGATGAGTATTTTCAGTCTTTAAAGGCTTGGCAGCAGCTTGGCCAAGTAAGGAGAAAACCTAATTGAAAACAAATGCAGAAAATTTATTGTCTACTTGTAATTTTAGGCTACAAATAAGTGTGTCTCAATCAGTTTCTTAGACACTTGGCAACCATTCAAGTAAATTACTAACTACTATTTACCAGAAATCAGAATGTCTTTGAAGACCATATCATCATATGAACATCATTGTATTAGAGATCATTTCTATATGTGGGGATCTAAAAGTACCATTCTCAAATCTAGGGCTAAGAAAATATTACTCCTGATTGGTGTAAATGAAGAGTGAAATTGGAAATGAACTTGAGGGAGACTTTACGCTTTGAATGGAATATGCAAATTTTCTACACTTGAAGTAGTTTATAACACTTAAGTCCTGGTATCTGAATAACTGATATGTTTTTCAGGTACTGAATTGTTTACTTACTCCTTCTGCCCAGGTCCCTATGTTGACTCATTGAGAGAAATATAAATATGGCCTTCTACAGTTATAAAACAGTCTTAGCTATTGCCCGGACAAGGTAAGCCTTGGGATTCCCTCCTCTCTCCACTATTTATATGAACCTTATTTTTCTAGATGGAAAAGATACATGTAAAAGGATAGACTCAGTACACAATTAAAGCTTTCTTGGTTTTAATTGTGTTGGCTTTTAGGAACCAGGCATTTTAATGTATTTAAACTTACCCTAGATTTTCTATATGCTTTAGAACTCAAGCTGAGTAATTTTGTAAAAGTGTGGAACAGGTAAGATAGAAAATGTAATGACTTTAGAGTGACACCCCTGTAACTGATGAATGTTACATGCAGCCCTTAGATGTAAAAAGGAGTAAAATGGCTGGCAAGCAAGCCAATCCTAGGGCTTATACCTGCCCCAGTAAGGCCTGTTATCACTTACTTATTCCAAAGAATATTCACTGAGACCTTACTGTGTGCCAGATACATTGTACATTTTCCCTTTTGGCCATTCAAAAAGTGCTTTATCTTGGCAAAAATAGTCTGAAGGAATGGAAAAAGCCATTTCTATGCCAAAAGAAATCTCTTTGCCAGAAACTTTCTTTTACCTAGCTGGGTCTTATTTTTATTTTCAAACAATCTGATGTGTCAGTTTAGCTGAAGATTGTGAGTTGTTGCAAAACTGGAATGTAGAGATCCCTGGCTGGGGAGCCTAATTCTAATTCTTATTCCCAACATTCCTTAGGAGTCTTAGGTGAAGGACATTTCAGCTGTAAGTCCTTCTTATTTGAAGGAGTCCCTGGGCACTGCATAGACAAAGCAGTATTATGTGATTGGTTAGTCCCCACAGGGACCATGAAATGTTTCATTCAAACACTATTTCTGTCATCAGTAGAGTAGCTGAAAACACAAGTGTTCCACCTGCTTAATGATAATAGAGACAAAACTTTCAGACATAACCCCAGATGGAAAAATGTTTGCTTTTTAAATGAATAGTCACAGAGTTTCTAGCTTGTAACACAACAGTTATCCTTAGGAATTAACTTATTAATATTTCTCATAGAGTGTATCATTCACCCACAAAGCATGCTGTTATTCAGTTGGACTAAAAAGTTGTATGTCATTCATTCATGAACATGATCAGCTTTGAAAAATGCAAGCTTAAAAATGATTGTTTTATTTCTACCAGATAAAATATTTATTTCTTTACTCTTTCATTCTGTAATAGTATGTGCTTGACTCAGAGGCTGTTGGTCTTTATTCCAGATTCCCTAGCCATTTTGTCCAGCCTACCAGTTCTTCTTACTCCCCATCATTTGCATTTCTTCACTTGCCAGATTCCCATTTAAACAAAACCTATATGAAGAACTATGGAAGCAGAAAGTACTCCTATCCAAGTCAGTCAGGCAATAAAGTACTTCATTTACGAGCCAAAATCTTCCAAGAGCTGCACACATCGACTTGCTGGTTGCAGGATGTCCCCAGTAAACATCAGCAGGAGCAAACAGCAAAGAAGCCTCAGGTGCCAAGCCCTCAGCCCATGGAAGAAGCAGGCTTGAAGATTAAGGAAGGAAAGCGATCTTATAGACAAATAATTATGGATGAACTGAAATATTATTACAGTGGATTCTATTTGCTTTGGATTGACACAAAAGTTGCTGCCAGGATGGTTTGGAGGCTGTTGCATGGACAGGTGCTGACCAGACGAGAGAGAAGAAGGGTAGGCAAGGGTCATATTTGAGAAAGAAAATGTAAAATTGAAACGAACTGTTGGTCAACCAACTTTTAAAAAATCCCTCTGAAAAAGTCCCAGAGTAGGAATAGTAATTCACGGTGAGAACCAGAGTTTCTGACTTATCTGCAACTGACTTGCTGTACACCTGTAGATGGGCTCTTAAAATACATGTATAGTTGCCCATGGAATGCTTATAATTGTGTTTTCTAATTTCTCCAAGGAGTTGAGAGGCTTCAAGTTTGATATGTGCATCTGGAGTAGAAACTGCTGTTAATGTATTACGTGTATGCATTTGAAAAAACAATTTTAACAGATACCATGTTATTAAAGTACTGACTTAGATGAAAGTGCAGAGAAGCCAATAATATGTTTTGATTGTCATAGATTTCCTTGAAGATATCCCATAAACATTACTTCTGAGCTAAGGTACAGAGGAAAATCCGGCCTTTCCATTTTATAAATAGCTGCCTTGGGTTTTTAATGCTTTCAGAACTGAGGCAGACTTTTGTTTTTGGCATGGCCAGAAATAATGGATATTTGCATATGCCTTTAATTCTTTAGCTGCTGAGAACCTGTGCTGATTTCTTCCGCCTGGTTCCATTCATGGTGTTCATCATTGTCCCCTTCATGGAATTCTTATTGCCAGTGTTTCTGAAACTTTTCCCAGAGATGTTGCCATCAACTTTTGAAAGTGAATCCAAAAAGGTATGAGGATTTTGAAAGCTTTTAAAAGAATTAATAGAGTTTTATTTTTTTAAGAGCAGTTTTTAGGTCTACAGAAAAATTGAGCAGAAGGTAGAGAGGATCTCCAGCTACCTCCTGACCCCCGCTCCTATTTCCCCTATAAAATTTTTAAAATTATTTTTAAAATTTATTTTTTGACCACACAAAAGTTAACTGTGACTAGATGACCAGACCCTTGCATGCCTGTGAGTAGCTTCCAAGCAGAGGGTGTCCTTCCCCTCCTCTGATGGCCACTGTGAAGGTGAAGGGCTGGCCAACCAAGGCAGCCCCTTCATCCTCTCCATCTAGGCCACTCTGCCAGACAGACGGATGAAGGTGTGGATCCCGCCCCGTGAAAGAACAATGAAGGCAATTTTTAAATCAGACTGAGAAATGTTTCCCTGTCGCAGTGACCATGGACTTGAGATTACAGAATAGTAGAATTTTACCACACTGTTTGAAAGGCATTCCGGATAGAAGGACTAGCGTTTAAGATGCCTTAACAGTATAAAAGCGTATGACATAATCAAAGACCACCGACTGGTCCTCTGTAGTTGGAGCAGGGAATACCAGGGGATCCATGGGAGCAGAGGAGACTCACATACTGTCCTGGGCTCAGGTTGGAAAGTATCTGCCACCCTCAGGAATTTAGACTTTGACTGTGGTGATTGATGGAAGGTGAATGCAAAGCAGGGGATGAGAAAAAAAATTGATCTATATTTTAGATCAATCTAAATTATCTAATCAATCATGATTAGAGGTATATTTTAGGAAAACAGTTTGCTGGCAGGAAGGATTAAAAGGGTGGAGCCAAATAAGAATCAGCTGGAATGTTATTACAGTAGCATGAGAGAGAGACAGAGGACAAAACCTGAATCATAAAAGTTTCATCAGGAGCAAAACCTTGAAGATAGGTTTGAGACAGATTTAAAGAGTAGAATCAAATCGCAACATTTGACTGCCTGGCAGGGGTTTGGAATGAGTTTACTTACATTTAAAGTAGTCAGGGTCTAGTATTAATACCATGGGATTCCAAGGAATGTGTATGCGGTGGGGTTGTTTTGTTTGGTTTTGGTTTTGGCTACACCATGTGGCATGAGAGATCTTAGTTCCCTGACCAGGGATTGAACCTTTACCCTCTGCAGTGGAAGTGCAGCATCTTAACCACAGACCTGCGGGGGAAGTCCCCAGGGAATGTGTTAGTGAATGCAGAAAGAGGTGGGGATGAGGTAGTAATTTATCTAAGTGTTCCTCTTTCCTCAACATTGCGTGTTTCCTGAACATATGCACATACATATCATGACCACAGTATTAGAAACTACTTTCTCCTTTGCTTTGTTTGGTGATCAGAGGGAGAGAGCGACAGAGTAAACATGAGTACCTAGCTTTCTGCTTACACAGGGTCCCAGCACCATGCACTTCTCTTTCATGGTACTTGCCTGATATACTTTTAGATTAATTTGTGGAATTACCTGGAGAAGGAAATGGCAACCCACTCCAGTATTCTTGTCTGGGGAGTCCCATGGACAGAGGGGCCTGGTGGGCTGCTGTCTATGGGGTCACACAGAGTCCGGCATGACTGAAATGACTTACCAGCAGCAGCAGTGGAATTACCAGTTTATTATTAATTGACAATGTTTGTCTCTCCCATTAGACTAGAAGTTTCCTGAGGGCAGGAATTCTTACCTGCTTTTGCCCATTTTACCCTAGCACCTAGCACAGGGTGGATGTTCAATAAACAGATGAATGAAATTGATGGCTGCATGGGTTTTAATGATGGTATTGCCATTGTGTGATTCTAGGGAGCTGATTCTTCTAAGATATTTCTAAAAAAAAAAAAACCAATGATTGCTATGATTTGCTTGTCATTAGAATTTTTGGGCAACTTAATGGGGGGAATATATATATATATGTGTATATAAAACACATTTATTCCTGTTCCTCTGTATCTACCTGATCATGGTTATTTTGAAAATACTACCACACTATATTTCTGATGGTGAACAAGGATTTAGAGTTAGTGGTTAACGTATTGTCTTAAGAGTATGCATTTAATTCTCTTCTACATAATGCTTTGTTTATATCTGTTATAGCACTTCATTATCTTGTAATTAATTGTGTTTGTTTTCTTCTTAACCTGTAAACTTCATTAGCTTAATTTCCTAGTTTGGTTTGTGGCCAAGGAAAATCAGATCCCTCAGACCAGGGGTCCTCTTGACCAATGACCTAGATGGTTTGCACCAGGTTAAGAGATAGTGACAAAGGCTTCCCCTGAGGGCACTATTTTGAACCCATCCAATATTTATGATGATTGCATTAGTGAGAAAGGTAAGATTAAGGAGACAAGCTGCAAATCGAGGCTACTTTTTAATTTTCTCTGGTTTTCACAAAACTCCTTGAATTAGGTCTAATGAGAATATTCATTCATGAAGTAGAGATGGCAAGCAACAACACCACAGTCATGTTTCTCTCATCTTTATCTACCAAGTTGTAATCATGAAGGATTAATTCTAACTTTCCTCTTCCATCATGAAGGAAGAAAAACAGAGAAAGAAAATGGCTGCAAAGTTGGAACTAGCGAAATTCCTTCAAGAAACGATTACAGAAATGGCAAAGAGGAACAGAGCCCAGCTGGGGGACACCTCAACCCAGTTCTCCTCCTACGTCAAACAGGTGTCAGTCTTTTATATAAAACCAGACAACTTCGTGTCATCACGGAGCTTCCAGATTGTTCCTGATCTCTGAATTTGCAAATATCTCAGTTACAGAAATATAGTATTTCAAAAATTTATGGGAGTTTGCAGAAAACCTATCTTAAAGCCATCAATGCTTTGAAGATGTTAATAACTACTTAGAAAAACAGTACAATGAAACTCAAACTTTTGAACTTCTCCTGATTGTTCAGTTGATTTAGGCTGACTTCTGACAGATTCTTTTTTTTAAACTCCTCTTTGTAACTCAGCCCCCACTTCCAGACCTAAGATAGAATCCATAAGTGCTTTGGCATCTTTCACATGGTCTACAGAGAAGATTCTTTAAGCAGGAAGCAGGTTTTTATTAGTCCCTGTGTCCCACTGCCTAGGTCCAGACAGGCCACAAGCCCAGCATCAAGGAGATTGTTCAATTTTCCAAACTCTTTGAGGATCAGCTGACCCTGGAGCACCTCAACCGACCCCAGCTGGTGGCCCTTTGCAAACTGCTGGAACTGCAGTCCTTTGGAACCAACAATCTGCTTCGCTTCCAGCTACTGATGAGGCTGAAGTCTATAAAAGCAGATGATGAGGTAAGAGCTGAGCTACAGCTGGAGGGAATTAGCCAGGCCTTGGGGACTGTCTTAGGGTGGTTCTGTGACAAAGTGCACTGCCTTCTGTCAGGTCTGCCTGAAGGCTGGTTCTGGCAGAATGAGTGGTCTGAGCAACCTGAACCTTGATGACTCACTTTCGAGGTTGCCTGTTGGCCTCTTGAGAAGATCTTGTAAGCAGTGAGTAGCTTGGATGTCTTAGCTGGGGCTAATCAAAACCAGTTAGGACCCATGGGGAAGGAACAGCAACTCAGTAGATCCCAGGGAACAGATCACACTGCCAAGGACAGTGCTCAACACCCACCCCTCCCCCGCCACCCCCCACACTTGCCCTGTGCTTCCTTCGCTTGGGTCTTGGTGAGCAGCCCTGGTAAGAAGGGGTGGCCAAGGATGGAGGGAAGGCAGGACCCCAACATCTTCTGGAGTAAGGGCACCATTGGACTGTAACTACTCGTTAGTGTCCTTAAAAAGTGGAAAGAATGTTTCTTGAATCTGAATCAGCCACTTTAAAAGCATTCTGCCTGAGGGAGCAGGATTCCCAGAACTGAGAAGGCAGGATCCCGTTGGCCCCATTTAGATTTCAGTGGTTGCTTTCAAAACTGGAATAAACAATCCTGGTCCCAGAAGTCCCATAGCTTGGGGTCATACCAAGTAGAAACTGTGTTAAGTTATTTATTGAGGGAGTTTTGAGGCCCAGGGAGTTGGGGCTGTTCTTAGGGGGTTGGGGGGTGGGGGAGGAACACTGCTGGGACGTGCAACAAATGTACATTGAAAGCTTTTCACATGGAATGCTTTTCTAATGAGTCTTAAAGTCACCATGAAAGGGAAGTGGAGTGGAGCTGTCACAACCAGGCGCAAGGCAATGCAAGAGGGAGAAACACCTCGGGGGTCAGGCGGTGGAGTTCTGTAAATTTCTGATATTATTCACACCCGCTGGCAGGATTCCCTTCACCTCCACCACTGCACCTCGAGGTCACCTGGCTTTATTGAGCGCCTGGCCTTTGTGGCAGGCAGTGCAGGGGACAGAGTGGGAAAGCTAGCTGATTCTGCCTTTCCCCTGACTTGTGGGAATTGAAGGATTAGGCAAAACTGGAACCAAAGGACCTGATGCCATTCCTTCCGGGTTTTTTTTCTTTTCCCCCAGGTAATTGCCAAGGAAGGGGTGAATGCCCTGAGTGTGTCGGAGCTCCAAGCCGCCTGCAGGGCCAGAGGGATGCTGTCACTGGGTCTCACTGAGGGGCAGCTGAGACAGCAGCTCACAGAGGCAAGTGGCCGCTTTCCTGGGCGCCGTTGAACTCTCTCCCGTCCCGTTGGCGTGTCTGCTCAGTTGCTTCAGGCATGTCTGACTTTTTGCAACCCTATGGACTGTAGCCCTCCAGGCTACTCTGTCCATAGAATTCTCCAGGCAAGAATACTGGAATAGGTTGCCATGCCCTCCAGGGGATCTTCCTCACCCAGTGACTGAACCCGTGTCTCTTATGTCTCCTGCATTGGCAGGCAGGGTTCTTTACCACTAGAACCATCTGGGAAGCCCCCCTTCCCATTTTCAGGCCTTGTTTTTCAATTTCTGCCTTGCCATCTTACCTAATTGGCCTTCTTTAACGGAGCCGTGGGCCACTGAAGAAGCTGGCTTTATTTTTGACTGCACCACGCTACTTTGTTAGTTGTCTATGGCTGCTAACACACTACCACAAACTTAGCCGCTCAAAGTAACACTCGCTGATCAGCTCCGGGTCCTGCAGGTCAGAAGTGCAGGCTGTTTTCCTTTCTGGAGGCCATGGGGGAGATTCCACTTCCAAGCTCATGCAGTTTGTTGGCTGAATTCAACTCTTGCAGCTGTGGGAGTGCGGGCCCTGTTTCTTCACTGGCTCCTAGCCCCAGGCCACTCTCAGCCCCTCCAGCCCCTCCATCTGCAGTGAACTTCTCACCCAACCCCTAGCTCCGGATTTAAGGCCTCATGTGATTAGGCAAGACCTACCTGGGTCATCTTCGTATTTTAAGGTCAACTGACTTGAGACTTGAATTACATCTGCAGAATCCCTTCATGGCAGCAAAGAGTTTAATTGAGTAACTGGGAGAAGGCTCAGGTACACAAGGGACAGAAGTCTTGGGACCACCCTCCACTGCGCCGCCTCCTCTGGGTATCATGAGGGCTCTGAACTGAAGCTCTGATAGCGGGCCTGTCATCCGGGTGAGTCCCCCTGAAGGCCTACGCCTTCTGGGGCTGCTTTCCCATTCATGCCCCACACCAGGGTCAAGTGTTAGCTTTGAGCAGATTCCCCTCTGATAACGTGCTCTCTCCCAGACAGTGGATTTTAACGGAGCGTTTAAACTGTTCTAAGTGCTTTAAAACAAAGTAGTAACTCCTATTACAATCCTCATTCCCAGTACTGAAAAAGGTGCTGTGGAAGGACTTCCCTGGTGGTCCAGTGGTTAAGGCTCCACACTCCCCGTGCAGGGGGCCCAGGTTCAATCCCTGGTCAGGGAACTAGATCCCACATGCTGCAACTAAGAGCCCACATTCCTCAACTAAAGAGCCTGCATGCCGAGGATAAGGGCCGCCATGCCTCAACTAAGAGCCTGCATGCCTCAACTAAAGATCACGCATGCCGCGGATAAGGGCTGCCATGCCTCAACTGAGAGCCTGCATTCTGCAACTATAGGTCTGGCAGAGCTGGAAAAAAAAAAAGAAAGTGCTATGGAGTATGCACAAATTATTTAGGGCTAGGACCCACTGTTATGGCTTTGAACAACATCAGGTAGCGATTTTCTCTTCCATGTCGGACCTGCTCTGATTGGAAGGGGAGCATGTTCTAGGGGGTGTTTAAACGTCGTTTATTTCCTGCATGTAGGGTATTAAGTGACTTCATCCTGTCAAATTGTTTTGTTGGAGGGATGTCTTGTTTTACAATCCCCCTTCAAGGGAGTGAGAAAACTAAGCCAACCATACAATCTTCAGTGAAATGGATTACTGTTCCCAAAATCCTGTGTTAGGATATGGCTGACATCTCATAGAAAGGAAAAGCTAAAAATGATAAACTTACAAAATGTCTTAACTTCAAAGAAAAAAAGAAAGTTAAAACTATGAGATTCCATATGCACTTGTTACCTTGGGAAAGGTCAGAGGTGGTTGACGCCCTGTGTTGGGGAGGGTGTAAGGACAGAGGGGCATTCATGGAGTGCTGGTAAACCCTGCATGGGGAACAGATAACTGTGTAGATCTGTCTCTCTCCTCTTGAGTCCCCTTTTTCTCCTCCTGCTCACCTCTATCTCCTTCCTCCCGCTCCTATTCTTCATGTAACTCTGTGAACCTCTCTGGTTGTCTCTCATGGTGGAGAATCTTTTCACCATTAACCTAGAAGTTTTATTATCAGTGCTGTATAGTTGGAGAAGTCTTGAGACTATTGGAAGAATAAAACTGAAATCCAGAGGCAGGAGACTTAAGCCCAAAACCTGAGAAAACCAGAAAACTCCTGACTACACGCAACATTAAGGAATAAGAGACCATCCAAAAGCCTCCATACCTACACCAAAACCAACCACCACCCAAGAGCCAATAAGCTCCAGTACAAGACATACCATGCAAATTCTTTAGCAACGCAGGAACATAGACCTGAGTGTCAACATACAGGCTGTCCAAAGTCACACCTAACACACAGACCCATCGCAAAACTCATTACTGGACACTCCATTGCACTCCAGAGAGAAGAAATCCAATTCCACGCACCAGAACGCTGACACAAGCTTCCCTAACCAGGAAACCTTGACAAAAAAATCGTCCAACTCCACCCACTGGGTGAAACCTCCACAATAAAAAGGAACCACAGACCACAAGAATACAGAAAGCCCACTCCAGACACAGCAATCTAAACAAGATGAAAAGGCAGAGAAATACCCAACAGGTAAAGGAACATGAAAAAAGCCCACCAAGTCAAACAAAAGAGGAGGAAATAGGGAATCTACCTGAAAAAGAATTTAGAATAATGATAATAAAAATGATCCAAAATCTTGAAAACAAAATGGAGTTACAAATAAATAGCCTGGAGACAAAGATTGAGAAGATGCAAGAAATGTTTAACAAGGACCTAGAAGAAATTTTAAAAAGTCAATTAAAAATTAATAATGGAGAAAATAATAGCAAACGAAGCAACAGACAAAGGATTAATCTCAAAAATATACAAGCAACTCCTCCAGCTCAACTCCAGAAAAATAAATGACCCAATCAAAAAATGGGCCAAAGAACTGAACAGACATTTCTCCAAGGAAGACATACAGATGGCACAAAAACACATGAAAAGATGCTCAACATCACTCATTATCAGAGAAATGCAAATCAAAACCACAATGAGGTACCATTACACACCAGTCAGGATGGCTGCTATCCAAAAGTCTACAAGCAATAAATGCTGGAGAGGGTGTGGAGAAAAGGGAACCCTCTTACACTGTTGGTGGGAATGCAAATTAGTACAGCCACTATGGAAAACAGTGTGGAGATTTCTTAAAAAGCTGGAAATAGAACTGCCATATGACCCAGCAATCCCACTTCTGGGCATACACACCGAGGAGACCAGATCTGAAAGAGACACGTGCACCCCAATGTTCATCGCAGCACTGTTTATAATAGCCAGGACATGGAAGCAACCTAGATGCCCATCAGCAGACAAATGGATGAGGAAGCTGTGGTACATATACACCATGGAATATTACTCAGCCATTAAAAAGAATTCATTTGAATCAGTTCTAATGAGATGGATGAAACTGGAGCCCATTATACAGAGCGAAGTAAGCCAGAAAAATAAAGACCATTACAGTATACTAACACATATATATGGAATTTAGAAAGATGGTAACGATAACCCTATATGCAAAACAGAAAAAGAGACTAAGATGTATAGAACAGACTTGTGGACTCTGGGAGGAGGCGAGGGTGGGATGTTTCAAGAGAACAGCATCGAAACATGTATATTATCTAGGGTGAAACAGATCACCAGCCCAGATCACCAGGTTGGGTGCATGAGACAAGTGCTCAGGCCTGGTGCATTGGGAAGACCCAGAGGGATAGGGCGGAGAGAGAGGTGGGAGGGGGGACCGGGATGGGGAATACATGTAAATCCATGGCTAATTCATTTCAATGTATGACAAAAACCACTGCAATGATGTAAAGTAATTAGCCTCCAACTAATAAAAATAAATGAAAAAAAGAAAAAAAAAAAGAAATGAGGACAACCTCAGGGACCTCTGGGACAATGGGGAAGGAAATAGCCACCCAAGTCCAAGAAACCCAGAGAGTCCCAAACAGGATAAACCCAAGGCAAAACACCCCAAGACACATATTAATCAAATTAACAAAGATCAAACACAAAGAACAAATATTAAAAGCAGCAAGGGAGAAACAACAAATAACACATAAAGGGATTCCCATAAGGATAACAGCTGATCTATCAATAGAAACCCTGCAGGCCAGAAGGGAATGGCAGGACATACTTAAAGTAATGAAAGAGAATAACCTACAACCTAGATTACTCTACCCAGCAAGGATCTCATTCAGATATGAAGGAGAACTCAAAAGCTTTACTGACAAGCAAAAGCTGAGAGAATTCAGCACCACCAAACCAGCTCTTCAACAAATACTAAAGGATCTTCTCTAGACAGGAAACACAGAAAGGTGGTATAAACGTGAACCCCAAACAACAAAATAAATGGCAACGGGACCATACCTATCAATAATTACCTTAAATGTAAATGGGTTGAATGCCCCAACCAAAAGACAAAGGCTGGCTGAATGGATACAAAAGCAAGACCCCTATATATGCTGTCTACAAGAGACCCACCTCAAAACAAGGGACACATACAGACTAAAAGTGAAGGGCTGGAAAAAAATATTCCATGCAAATGGAGACCAAAAGAAAGCAGGAGTCGCAATACTCATATCAGATAAAATAGGCTTTCAAATAAAGGCTGTGAAAAGAGACAAAGATGGACACTACATAATGATCAAAGGATCAATCAAAGAAGAAGATATAACAATTATAAATATATATGCAGCCAACATAGGAGCACCGCAATATGTAAGGCAAACACTAACGAGTATGAAAGAGGAAATTAATAGTAACACAATAATAGTAGGAGACTTTAATACCCCACTCACAACTATGGATAGATCAACTAAACAGAAAATGAACAAGGAAACACAAACTTTAAAGGACACAATGGACCAGCTAGACCTAATTGACATCTATAGGACGTTTCACCCCAAAACAATCAACTTCACCTTTTTCTCAAGTGCACACGGAACCTTCTCCAGAATAGATCACATCCTGGGCCATAAATCTAGTCTTGGTAAATTCAAAAAAATTGAAATCATTCCAGTCATCTTTTCTGACCACAGTGCAGTAAGATTAGATCTTAATTACAGGAAAAAAATTATTAAAAATTCAAACATATGGAGGCTAAACAACACGCTTCTGAATAACCAACAAATCATAGAAGAAATCAAAAAAGAAATCAAAATATGCATCGAAATGAATGAAAATGAAAACACAACAACCCAAAACCTTTGGGACACTGTAAAAGCAGTGCTAAGGGGAAGATTCATAGCATTACAGGCCTACCTCAAGAAACAAGAAAAAAGTCAAATAAATAACCTAACTCTACACCTAGAGCAACTAGAGAAGGAAGAAATGAAGAACCCCAGGGTTAGTAGAAGGAAAGAAATCTTAAAAATTAGGGCAGAAATAAATGCAAAAGAAACTAAAGAGACCATAGCAAAAATCAACAAAGCTAAAAGCTGGTTTTTTGAAAAAATAAACAAAATTGACAAACCATTAGCAAGACTCATTAAGAAACAAAGGGAGAAGAACCAAATTAACAAAATTAGAAACGAAAATGGAGAGATCACAACAGACAACACTGAAATACAAAGGATCATAAGAGACTACTACCAGCAGCTCTATGCCAATAAAATGGACAACTTGGAAGAAATGGACAAGTTCTTAGAGAAGTATAACTTTCCAAAACTGAACCAGGAAGAAATAGATCTTAACAAACCCATCACAAGCAAGGAAATCGAAACTGTAATCAGAAATCTTCCAGCAAACAAAAGCCCAGGACCAGATGGCTTCACAGCTGAATTCTACCAAAAATTTAGAGAGGAGCTAACACCTATCTTACTCAATCTATTCCAGAAAATTGCAGAAGAAGGTAAACTTCCAAACTCATTCTATGAGGCCACCATCACCCTAATTCCAAAACCAGACAAAGATGCCACAAAAAAAGAAAACTACAGACCAATATCACTGATGAACATAGATACAAAAATCCTTAACAAAATTCTAGCAAACAGAATCCAACAACATATTAAAAAAATCATACACCATGACCAAGTGGGCTTTATCCCAGGAATGCAAGGATTCTTTAATATCCGCAAATCAATCAATGTAATACACCACATTAACAAATTGAAAGATAAAACCATATGATTATCTCAATAGATGCAGAAAAAGCCTTTGACAAAATTCAACATCCATTTATGATTAAAACTCTCCAGAAAGCAGGAATAGAAGGAACATACCTCAACATAATAAAAGCTATATATGACAAACCCACAGCAAGTATCACCCTCAATGGTGAAAAATTGAAAGCATTTCCCCTGAAATCGGGAACAAGACAGGGGTGCCCACTCTCACCACTACTATTCAACATAGTGTTGGAAGTTTTGGCCACAGCAATCAGGTCAGAAAAAGAAGTAAAAGGAATCCAGATAGGAAAAGAAGAAGTGAAACTCTCTCTGTTTGCAGATGACATGATCCTCTACATAGAAAACCCTAAAGACTACCAGAAAATTACTAGAGCTAATCAACGAATACAGTAAAGTTGCAGGATATAAAATTAACACACAGAAATCTCTTGCATTCCTATACACTAACAATGAGAAAACAGAAAGAGAAATTAAGGAAACAATACCATTCACCATTGCAACAAAAAGAATAAAATACTTAGGAGTATATCTACCTAAAGAAACAAAAGACCTATACATAGAAAACTATAAAACACTGATGAAAGAAATCAAAGAGGACACAAACAGATGGAGAAATATACCGTGTTCATGGATTGGAAGAATCAATATTGTCAAAATGGCTATACTACCCAAAGAAATCTATAGATTCAATGCAATCCCTATCAAACTACCAATGGTATTTTTCACAGAACTAGAAAAAATAATTTCACAATTTGTATGGAAATACAGAAAACCTCGAGTAGCCAAAGTAACCTTGAGAAAGAAGAATGGAACTGGAGGAATCAATCTGCCTGACTTCAGACTATACTACAAAGCCACAGTCATCAAGACAGTTTGGTACTGGCACAAAGACAGAAATATAGATCAATGGAACAGAATAGAAAGCCCAGAGATAAATCCACGAACCTACGGTCACCTTATCTTTGACAAAGGAGGCAAGGATATACAATGGAAAAAAGACAACCTCTTTAACAAGTGGTTCTGGGAAAATTGGTCAACCACCTGTAAAAGAATGAAACTAGAACACTTTCTAACACCATACACAAAAATAAACTCAAAATGGATTAAAGATCTAAATGTAAGACCAGAAACTATAAAACTCCTAGAGGAGAACATAGGCAAAACACTCTCCGACATAAATCATAGCAGGATCCTCTATGACCCACCTCCCAGAATTTTAGAAACAAAAGCAAAAATAAACAAATGGGACCTAATGAAACTTAAAAGCTTTTGCACAACAAAGGAAACTATAAGCAAGGTGAAAAGACAGCCCTCAGATTGGGAGAAAATAATAGCAAACGAAGCAACAGACAAAGGATTAATTTCAAAAATATACAAGCAACTCCTCCAGCTCAACTCCAGAAAAATAAATGACCCAATCAAAAAATGGGCCAAAGAACTGAACAGACATTTCTCCAAGGAAGACATACAGATGGCTAACAAACACATGAAAAGATGCTCAACATCACTCATTATCAGAGAAATGCAAATCAAAACCACAATGAGGTACCATTACACACCAGTCAGGATGGCTGCTATCCAAAAGTCTACAAGCAATAAATGCTGGAGAGGGTGTGGAGAAAAGGGAACCCTCTTACACTGTTGGTGGGAATGCAAATTAGTACAGCCACTATGGAAAACAGTGTGGAGATTTCTTAAAAAGCTGGAAATAGAACTGCCATATGACCCAGCAATCCCACTTCTGGGCATACACACCGAGGAGACCAGATCTGAAAGAGACACGTGCACCCCAATGTTCATCGCAGCACTGTTTATAATAGCCAGGACATGGAAGCAACCTAGATGCCCATCAGCAGACAAATGGATGAGGAAGCTGTGGTACATATACACCATGGAATATTACTCAGCCATTAAAAAGAATTCATTTGAATCAGTTCTAATGAGATGGATGAAACTGGAGCCCATTATACAGAGCGAAGTAAGCCAGAAAGATAAAGACCATTACAGTATACTAACACATATATATGGAATTTAGAAAGATGGTAATGATAACCCTATATGCAAAACAGAAAAAGAGACTCAGATGTATAGAACAGACTTGTGGACTCTGGGAGGAGGCGAGGGTGGGATGTTTCAAGAGAACAGCATCGAAACATGTATATTATCTAGGGTGAAACAGATCACCAGCCCAGGTTGGATGCATGAGACAAGTGCTCGGGCCTGGTGCACTGGGAAGACCCAGAGGGATCGGGCGGAGAGAGAGGTGGGAGGGGGGACCGGGATGGGGAATACATGTAAATCCATGGCTAATTCATTTCAATGTATGACAAAAACCACTGCAATGATGTAAAGTAATTAGCCTCCAACTAATAAAAATAAATGGGGGAAAAAAAAAACAAACACCCTGCATGGAGGTTTGGCAACAGCTTCCAAAATTTAAAAATGCATTTACTTGGACCTAGAAATTTCAGTGCTAGGAATTTGCACATGTGCAAAATGACATACCTAAAAGATTATCCATTGCAGTACCATTTATGATAGCAAAAGACTGAAAACAGCCTAAAGTTCATTAGTATAATAATCAAATAAATTATGGCATTTCCATCGATAGAATCCTTTACAGACATTTAAAAGAAGGCAGTTCTGGGACCTCCCTGGCGGTCCAGTGGTTAAGACTCTGTGCTTCCATTGAAGGGGGCGTGAGTTTGATCCCTGGTCAGGAAACTAGGATTCTGTATCCAGCACACTGTATGGTGAGGCAAAAAAATAAATAAATAAAAAGAAGGCAGCTCTACATCTATTGGTACAAATCAATTTCCAAGATACTTCAGTGAAAGAAAGCAAACAACAAGTGTGTATATATCACCCTTAGTGTAAAGATAAACATATAAGTGTGTATTTGGTTTTGTTGTTAATATTTTATTGGCTCAAGTGTTGTGGCTACCACTGAGGTTTTGTTTTGTTTTGGCCATGCCTCAGGGATGTGGGATCCCAGTTCCCCTGACCAGGGATGGAACCCATGTCCCCTGCAGTGGAAACACTGGTGCTGGGAAGTCCCTAAATGTATATTTGTATACTCATAGGATATCGCTGTAAGATTGTATCAGGAACTGGTAGCAGTGATTGCTTCCAGGGAGGGAAATAGGGTAGCTAGAGAATAGAATAATTTACCTTTTGAATTTTGTCTTGTGTGCATCTATCTATCTATCTATCTATGGTCTTCCCTGGTGGTTCAGTAGGTAAAGAATCTGCCTGCAATGCAGGAGAACCAGGTTCGATCCCTGGTGGGGGAAGATCCCCTGGAGGAGGGAATGGCAACCCACTCCAGTATTCTTGCCTGGAGAACTCCATGGACAGAAGAGCCGGTGGGCGATAGTCCATGGGGGTCAGAAAGACTCACATGACTGAGTGACTAATGCACACACATACCCCTATCCAAAATTTGGCCAATTTGGAGCTTGAAAAATTACATCTCATTCTAATGTTAATTTCTTTAGTTATGAATGAATTTGATGTAATCTTTTACATTTATCTACTTTATACTGAAGATACCTCCTTTGATCCACGGTTGGTGTAAGAGGTTAATTGAACCTCCCTCTCTGACTGTGAGGGGCTGTAGGGCCCAAGCAGGGATGCAGTAGCCAGGAGACATGCCCCTGTCCTTGCTTTAGTACTCAGCGTGCGCCTGGGGGGCTGTGAGACCAGAGGAGAGGAGATGCAGGGGGCGGGGGGGTCACGTCAAACGGTCTGTGATTGTCATGCTTCATCCCTCTCCCGTTCTCCAGTGGCAGGACCTCCACCTGAAGGAGAATGTCCCGCCTTCTCTTTTGCTGCTGTCCCGGACCTTCTACCTGATAGATGTGAAGCCGAAGCCCATTGAGATACCGCTCAGTGGGGAGGTGAGTCCTGGCTCAGTGGGAACCCAGGCCCCACGGCCGGGCCGCTCGAAAACCCGCCTCCTCTTACAGTCAAGAGTAGGCCTCTCTCTTGGCTTATCTTTTGGAATTTGGCCCCAGTGGCTTTAAGATCTTTTAAAAATTCCTTTAAAAAATGAAAATCACTCAAACCACCTGTAGCTTTTGAGCTGTTTACTGTGTTTAGGAGTCTTATTTGATTTCTTATTAGGAGTCTGGCTTTATTCTTTCTAAGTATCTAGTCTTCTTAGAGTTTTTTTTTTTTTTCGTCTTCACCATTCTTTCTCCTTTGAGATGGAATAGTTCCTGTTCTTTCCTGTTTGTCTCATTTGCCCAGATTCCTATTAATATTTAAGTGGTGAATGGCCAGTCTAGAAAATAAACAATTCCTTTGTCTCCCTTCAGCCCATTTCCTTAATTATTTGTGATTGCCTTTAACTCAGTGGCTTTTGTTCTCCTGGTGTTCTGAAGAACCCAGGACTGGCCCAATCACTAGAGCATCTTGCTCTGGGTCCATCAGAAGGGGCCTCTCACTTCCCTGCTTTGTGGCTTCACGTCTGACTCGGAAGCTGCATGTGTGAGAAGGGAGGGCCCATGAGAGAAGAGGTTGCACTTGTGGCTGAGTGGATGGAACCAAACGCTCGGGAGTGAGGACCAGTCATTTGGAATCTTGGTTATGCTATCGATTCCTTGGGCAAGCCAAGGAAAACATGAAGTCCAACATGAAAAATGTTCTTCAGGAAACACCATCTTGCTTTCCTTTTACAAATTTTCAGAAACCGATCTGGATTTGGGCTTGATCCAGAAGCATTCTAGGGAGACTTAGGAGATAAAGTCTGGAGCATAGACCATGTTCTAACAGGCTCCTGTGTTCGTACTCTTTCTTTGAGACAGACCAGTTCGTTGTCATTCTTAGACTGCTCTCAGTAGCAAGGAAGTCTTAGAGTAGCAAAATGTCTCAGAGCTAAATTTGAGTTTCAGAATGATTCTAGAGGGTTATAAACTCTTGATCCCGATGTTGCTTTCTGGAATTGTTAAGAAATACCTGAGAATTGGACTTCCTTGGTCGTCCAGTGGTTAAGGCTCTGGCCTTCCAATGCAGGGGCCTGGGTTCTATCCCTGGTCAAGGAATGAAGATCCCAGTTGCTTCACAGCGCCACCCTCCGCCCCCCTGCCCCCCACCCCCCACCAAAAAAAAAAGGTAAAAAAGAAGTACTATTAAGAAAAACTACCTGGGAATTAGGGACAAAAGGACAGGCTCCTAGGCATTTTATTGTTATTGTTGTTTTTAATACATGCTTTTAAACTTCTGTTCTTCATATGTACAAAAACAAGTAACATGCTAGGTTCAGTAGAGAACTGAGAGACATGAAACTGAATATACTGTAGTTTTGGATATATATAGCCCTTTTCCCTCCAAAGTACATGAAGAAATTACTTCCAAAGAGCAGTGATTTACTTTTCAAATGTAATTAATATAATTGTTGAAGACAGGTTAGCTAGCTCTTCTAAAATACCACTCCCTCCCTCCATCTTCAGGTATTGCAGGAACTTCTGTTAATTAACACCTTTCGTTTGAACAAATCATTTATTACTAGCCACCAAAAATGACACCAAAGATGTCAGTTTTGACTAAGTTGTATCAATGCCAGCAGAAACTGATGCCTAAGTGAGAAATGGCAACTTTTGTGATTTTTTTTTTTTTTTGAGAGTGAGAACAGGATCAGAATGGCAAATAAGTAGCTTCTTAATAACAAAGGATTTTAAATATCAGAATCTGATTAGAGTGCAACTTTTATATCTAGAGTGCTTAAAAGTTAAAAGGTAATACTAAGTTGCTATTTCAGGGACATACACTGCCTATTTCACCCAGAAAGGAAGTCAGGAAAGCAAATTGTGCTGAAAAGTACTAAGGTAGAAGTGCTTCTGAGTTTCAGGAGGAGCAGACAGCTTAATTTTTATAAAACATCTCTCTCCCTAGGCGCGAAAGACAGATATTCCCCTGGGATCACCCACTCCCCCTGAATCTAAAGAGAACATGGCTGGTTTAGCACCTCAACTGAAGGGAACTAAGGTGAGACACTTTTGATTACATGAAAAATCAAGAAGTTAATTTCACTGGTGTCCTTTAATAAGGACTTACTTTTGGGTACTGCTTGATCTAAGAAAGTTTGGCATCTGGCTGTATGCATTTAGGTTCCACATTTTGCCTGTTGAGTCCTGTGGCAGACATTCAGTAGTTGTTTCAAGGATCTGGTAGTCATGGCAGTGTGACTGTAGCTCCAGGACACCTTGTGTCTTAAGTCAGTAACCCAACTCAGCTCTGATGTTTAAGGATGAAGAATGGATACAGCTGCCGTCAGTTACATCATCACTCACACCACCATCAAAGTCTATTTCATTACCTAAAGAATCCATCACTTCTGCTAAAGAAGATGTACAAAGGAAACTCTTTTCCTCAAGTTGCTTTTAGGGGCAGTGAGAATCTAGAATTATAATAGTTGCAAAACACCACACCCTCTGTGTCCTCCAAACAGGAAACTGTAGGCTGAACTTCAGTCATCTTATAACCACTACATTTTTTTTTAAATTCAGTGATCCAAAAGCAAATATATATATTAACAAATGCAATCGTGGTTCAGAACTAAACATGTTAAGTCTAGAAGCTAATTACAATATAGGCAGATTCTTATTTTCTGTTGCGCCAGATGGAAATAGTTCCCATATGTTGTGTATTTCACACAGGCTTCAGATGTCAGGAAATACTAGCGGGAAAGCAATTTAAAAACCTTAGGAGAAGTGCATGTAAATTAGAAATTACTTATCTATCCACTTTTCCCGTTTGGGAGTGAGAGCAGAAAGCAGGAGGCAGCGAACAGTAGGGGGTCACAGGCGAGTTGCGCTGTGGAGTGGCTGTGCTGGCTCTCGAGGACCAAAGGGGGCCGCTGAGCACCCAGAGTGTTTCACCCAAGGCCTTGTCTGCATGTCTTCTTTCTCACTGTGACCAGTCCCTAAAGTCCTTATGTTTTTGTACCCCAATACTCCAGGCGAAATCAGAAAAGACAACCCAGAACAGCAAGGCTAGCTCGAATGGAGCATAAGGACTCATGGAGGATGGTGCTCACTCTCTCTGGCTTGCTGCCCTCAGCAGTGGCATCCGTGAAGGACGTCCCTGAGATAGAAGATCAGTCATTTAGTCCTCAGGGTGGTCTTTTGAGGCCTTGTAACCGTTCAGATGATGTCAGTGGCAAGACCACTGACGGATCACTTGGAAAACTATTTAACTGCAAAGCCCATGTTCTCTGTAGCATTAGGTCATCCCACAGGACCTTGCATAAGGCCCGCCTGCCATATTGTTTTTGAGCAACTTCACGTTCTTTTGAGAGGAAATTTTTTTGCACAAAGGAATCAGCCTGATGCCTTAAGACACCTCGTCTCCTCTAGCTCAGTAACCCGGCTAGGAACTAGGGAAACTTCAAAGCCAGTCATTGCGAGCGTTGCACAGCCACTCTCACACTCTCGGTGCCTGTACAACTTTTTCACACTGAGCACACACGCACATGCACACACACACACACACATCAATAGGAACAGTGCCCTGGAAACAAAGTACCTTTGGAGACAGGATGGATGTTAAGTCCCTGGTTAGGTCTTCCTGGATCTAAAGAAGAAAAAGCTTCTTGGAGAAGAAGTTGGGGAGTTCAACAGACTGGCAATCAGAGACTTGGCGGCCCCCCTCGGGCCCACAGAGGCTGCAGGGATCTGGGAGGCAGCCACTCCTCCAGCACATATGACTTCCATTAGCCTCCATCTTGCTAGGAAACATAATTAAGGGCTTAAGACCGAACCATTTGTTTGTGCTGGGTGTGTGTGTTTTTCTGGTCTGTTTGTCTTTCACAAACAAGACTATTTGTTAGTCACAGGGGTTGTTAAGAGTCTGATACAATCCCAATACTACCCAGGAACAGGTATTATGTTCAGATATTTATGTTGGCTATCTTCAGTGTTGTCCATACTGAAAAACCTTAACAATAAATCGATCACCATGCAGCTGACCACCAGCCTTATTCCCTTGGGGAGTACTTAGAAAGGAAGAGGTGTTTCAGCTGCAGAAATTAGATTTCTGTACTTGCTGTGGGATTGAAGGCAGTTAGATGGGCATCCATGGAACCAAGGAAAACTCAAATCAATCTGTCTGGGGTCATCTAAAAGAGGAATGTTATCAGCACTTGACTGCAAGGAAATGCACTTTAAAACCTTCCCTAAACCTCTCCTCCGCCGGAGGACAAGCCTCACCATGTCCTGTCCTGCTGAGGAAATCCATGCCATTGGCCTCGGAAGGTGATTCACAGTAAATTTCCTCATTTTTAAAATGATGAGGGTTTATTTTAATTAGTTCATATTTCAAGGGTTTGCATGTGAGAAAGGGATTAGCTCATTCATTTGCGCAACCCTGTTGCAGCTGGGTGCCTCGTGGGTGCTGTGGGGCCGCTCTACAGCTCTTTCTGGCTTTCCCCGTGAGCAGAGTGGGAAAGGGGCCTTGGTCACCTCGGACCTCAGCTGGACTTCACCCATGTTTGCTTCATAAATAGGCATCTGAGACCCTCAATACACCTCTCTTCCCCTTCTTCTGATAGTTGCTCAGAGAGCTTACTTCACTGCTGGGTCCCATGATGGTTATAGGTGCAGCCCACTGCTGAGACCGAACTAGTGGTGTTCTGGTAAATGATTAACACACGATCCAGTGGTTAGAACTCTCTGCTTCCACTCCAGGGAGCTCGGGTTCAATCCCCAGTTGGGATCTAAGATCCCACATGCTGTGTGGCATGGTTTCAAAAGAAAAAAATTAACAGCCAACTCTGGCACGTGGTTGGGAGTGTGCCCTGACTTGTAGCCTTGCAAAGCTGTGATGTAAATACTCCCACACAGCTAATCTTCAAGCTATCAATAGGTCACCAAACAACAGTTGGGGAGAGATGGATATGGTCAGCTTGAAACACCACACTTGACCCTCCACCTCTCCGAGGAACAAGAGACACTTAAACCTCTAGTTGGTGCGGGCCGCAAACATTATCATTTCCATGCACCAGGACAGACATCTGGAAGGCAGTGTAGCGTAAATGGCCCTGAATACTGTTAAGTGCCAACCTAGAGAGAACTTGCCCCAACACTCAGGTCCCCACACATCTGGCTTCTAACAGCTGAGGGAGTGGAAGCCTGTCTCCTTGCCCTGCTCTATGTTCTTCCCCACAAATGCATCTACTGTGGCTGCACCAGCTGCTAATAATCTCACCGAGTATAATTTTAGGCATTTTCTAAAGCCCAGCCCCGGTGGTGATGTCAGACTTGGCCCATCTCACAACCCTGAGAATTCTGCTTCAACAGAAAGGTGTTGGTGGCTTGGCATGTATGGACCTGCACCTGTGCCATGTCTAATTCTGTGTTTCAGTCATTACAGGTCACAACGGTGATATCAAGTAAATGCTCTATAGTGTTAAAACCTAAAGATCTCCTTGTCACCACCAGTGTACACCGGTAGGTAAGGTCAGGCTAAGGAACTTTACTGATCGACACCTTCCTTTTGCCCAGGATTCTGGCCCGCTGGCTCCCCCCAGTGGCGGCTGCGGACAACGACTTCATTGTCATGGAGATAGATTTCCTTCAGCCGTGGTTCAATCTTACTTACCTGAGATCAATATAGTACATTAGCGGTGCCGGGGGACCGGTGACCCCCGGCCTGTGGCAATTAGAAAGGGCGGGAAGGTGGTATCGATTGATGCTCTGGCCCTCATCTTTTAACCCTCAGGAAACCAGGCAGACTCAGTGTCTTGACAGCATGACATCTTCATTAGATAAACTGGATCTCTTTCCTCAGGAGACCCAATCCGGTCATCTAAGTAAAATGGCCATTTCATTTTCTCTCAGGTCAATTTCACTATCTTTGATTTGACAGCTCAGTCTCTCGGGAAATTCATGGGTGATTAGAGTAGTAACAGCAAGGACATCACTGTTACAGCAACAGTGAGCTGTGTCCCTCCACCTCTACTGAAGGCATGTAAAGCCCTTTGTGAAAGAGCGACCATCCATTCACACGACCCTGGGCCCAAACTATCATCAGTATTTTACAAGGAAAGGCGCCACTACAAGGTGTCACACAAATGGTTTTAAGAGCTAAAATTCATTTCCTGACTGTTCTTCACCAACGTATGCCTTCCTTAAACGTGAACACAAATCAGAATATGTTGACAGTCACATACTCACAGAGCTACCCAGCAGAAGAAAGAACTTTATAACAGGGGCCAACACTAAAGGGGCCAAGAAACAGCTCAGAAAGGAAACTTGAGGAGCAACCCCATTCTTCGGACACAAACTAAACTGGACTTGCTTTTATACTCAGAAGGGATCCGGCGAAGAGCAAGCTTTGGGGGCAGGAGGCTGCGTGAGCCCTAAGGTTCCAAGGAGCCTGCACCTACTTGATGGGGGGAAAGGGATAACCAGCAGGTGGCATAGGAGGAAAATTCCCCAGCAGTCAAAATGCACACCTTCACGGAATGTCTTCCTTTTTCTGAGGTTTGGGGTGGAGTTCCTATGGGAAGAACTGGAGGAGGCCAAGTGCTAGTTCCAGCACATGCAGTCTTATCACTCGAATTCAGAATGGTGTCGGGGGGGGAGGGGTAGGCATGATGGACACAGAATAGCCTGGGAGACAAGAAACCGGAAGCCAGGGCCCTCAAGCTGGTCTTAGGTGAGGGCTCCTCGCTGACAACGCAGCACAGGCAGAACTATACCCTCACAGAGGTGCAGCCACCCTCCTGGGTCTGAGTGCCTGCTGCCCCCGGTCAAACCATCCGTGGCCTGCATCTTCATCACTTCAGCCCCACTCCTGGCTTTTCCCAGCTGGACCCTCAGCTCCCTGTCTGACTCTCAGACCCCAGAGAGCTCCACATTTCCGCCGAGGAAACGTGTGGTGGAGGGGGACGTGGGGCCTGGCCCTGGGCCCAGTGCCCCCTACCTGCCCACCACGCAGCTGCCTGCCTTCTTTCCCTGCCTTTCCCAAAGCCCAGCAGAGGAAGGCGGGCTGTCCAGAAGCCTCGGAGCAGGACCCATGCGGAAGAGACCTCGGGACAGTGCCCCAGAGCCCGTCAGCCACGCTCCTTCACAGCCGACCTCCTCTCCCGCGTCACACAGCCCGTATAAAAATGAAGCAGCAGCAATTTTTATTGAGGGACCTAAACTGAAAATAGGTTTAGAACATAATTTAAAAAAATAAAACAGCAAAAGTAGCAAAAAATATATGACCTTTTTAAAAACATTTTCCTTTTTTTTTTTCTTTTTTGTTTTTAATATATAGCAACTGATGCCTCCCAACCACCAGGAGCATCTTACCCAATGGGTAAATCTCTGGTAACGACCCTTTTAAAAAGACATGTAAATATATACTCAGATTTATACACTTTGTGTTTTCTTCGTAGCTATGTACAGAGCCCCTGTTTGGGGCTGGGCCCCAGGGCCACGCCGCCGGCTCCCCGCCTCTGCGTCCCCACCCTTGGGTACCAGGTATTTGGTCAGCAAAGCAAATTAGTATCGGCATCAATAAGCCACTGGCACTATCCGTTGGAGCAGAGGTCGCCTTCTGCGGAGGCCCGAGCGCTGACCACCCCCACACCCAGCTCCCGCTGTAGCCCGAGGGCCTGCCGCCAGAACACGGGTACATGGGCGGCGCAGAGCAGGCGAGACCAATGCAGGATAACTCAGTCGGCTCGCGCTCGAGGGCGGCTCGGCCCCCACTGCCCGACCCTCGAGGCGGCAGGGAGGGGGTCTTGGTCCAAGGTTTGGCAGGCCACGTAGTAGCCGTCAGCAAGGACCGGCCTTCCTGCTCCTCTGTGTCAGGCTGTGAGGAGAGAAGGGGAGCTCGGGGGTGCGGGCCTCAAGGAGGCCGGGCGGCAGAGCACAGGGGAGGCAGCGAGTCCAGCAGAGGAGGGGCGGGGCCACAGCTGAGGATGGAGTCCGGGGAGGGGTGCAAGGTGTGGGGGCCCGTCAGCGCCGTTTGAGTCCGCCGTTGGCCAGCTGGGCCGGGTGTCGGGGCAGGCAGGGTTCCTCGGGCAAGGGCTCGTGAGAGAAGACGGAATCCTCTCCGGAGGAGCAGGTGGAGCTGCGGGTGTCAGGGAAACTGGGGGAGTATTGGTCCAGGGGCATTGACAGGTCCAGGTACTCCTGAAGGCGGAGACAAAAAGATGGAAGACCCACACTCTCCTTCCCGCGGTAGCGGGATTCATTCCGCGAGAACTTGGAATGAATCTCGCGAGAACTCGAATCGGTAGGCACACAGGGTCTAGGAAAGGCCGCCTCACCTGGTTGGAGGTCAAGGCGACGATGCGGTCCAGGTCTTCCACCAGCTGCTTGAAGGTGGGTCTCTGTGAGGGGACCGCGTGCCAGCAGTCTCTCATCATCATGTAGCTGGGGCAGGATGCGAGGTCGTGGTGGGGGGAGAGGACAGGCTTAGGGCGGAGGGGCCGCGGGCAGCTGGCTGCGCGCCCCCTATTCCTCCCTCTGTGCCCTGAGCCCAGCCAGCCCCCAGGGCCCAGCCCAGGACCCCAGGCATCTTTTCTCAGGCTTACAGCTCGTTGGTGCAGTTACTGGGTTTGTCCATACGATGACCCTCCTTCAGCAGCTTGAAAAGCTCCTCCACGGGGACCCCAGGGTACGGGGAGCCGCCCAGAGTGAAGATTTCCCAGAGGAGTACCCCAAAAGACCACCTGTGGATGACCGTTGTGGGCACAGAGCTAGGCCCCCCCACTGTTTTCACCACCTCTCCCCCCAAGTCCTCAACCCCAGGGGACCAGGGGGGGTCAACTTCTGGGGACAAAGTGAAGGGGCAACGTTTCGTTCATTTTCTGAGACAGGATGTGGGGCTGTACCACCCTGGAAACTCTCCCCAGAAACTGCTTATCTCAGACTCACACGTCGCTCTGGTGGGTGTAGATCCGGTCAAACAAGGCCTCCGGTGCCATCCACTTGACGGGCAGTCGGCCCTGCAAGCAGCACGGGGACGCTGGGGTGGCCCGGGGCAGGCAGGGGTGGACGCAGGGCTGGACTCAGCTCACCCGCCCACCCAGTCAGTGGGGGTGGGGGAAGCCCAGCGGCTCGGAGTCCTGGGGTAGAGGACTGGCAGCGCCCGCACTTACGTTGGTTGTCTTTTTATAGTAGTCGATGTGGTGGATGTCTCGAGCAAGACCGAAGTCTGCGATCTTCATTACGTTGTCTTCCGTCACCAGGACGTTCCTGGCGGCCAGGTCCCGGTGGATGCACTGTGGGGCCCAGAGGGCAAGAGGCATTGGGGGTAGGGTGGAGGTGGGTGCACGGGAGGGTCAGCAGCCGCCGGTGGGCCCACTTCCCTCACCGGCCCTCTGAACCATCCAGTTTCCTGCTACAGGGTCCCTCTCCTGTAGGTCAAAGCCAGACATCCAAACACCCCCAGCTCTGGGGCTGCCCAGTCACTTCAGCAAACCCTCCAGGCATCTTCCCCTCCCGGTGCCTGGCTTTCAATCTGCAGGCAGTGAGCTGAACCCCTCTCTGCTCTGTCCAGTTTGCATGGGCTCTCATGGGGATTCCCTGTCTCCCCAGCCAAGAATATCCATACAGGCCTGGGCTCAAACAAAGCAGCTTTTACCCAGCACCCAAAGCTGCACCTATCTCTCACACAGGACCTCATCTCCTCCCTGTAACCAATTACAGCCTAGGCATCATCGTTCTAACTTCACACTGGTCCAGCCCAATCCCAAGGCCATGTGGCTCTCCTGGCTCTGATGTCCCCCCCACCCCCCGCCGCCCCCCAGGGTCCCACGCTATCCAGGGGAGTGTCAGGAGCCACACCTTCTTGGAGGCAAGATACTCCATGCCTCGGGCCACCTGGTAGGCGCAGGATACCAGGTCCTTGGAGGAAAGCTGCTCCTCGGGGTGGTGGCTGGGGTTGTAGCAGTACTCCAGCCCCGGCGGCCTCCGGGCCTGCAGGTACTCCCGGAGGTTGCCTTTGGAGGCGTACTCCACGATGACATACAGGGGACCTGGGCACATGGGCATGGAGAGGCCGTCAGGGCCGCCGGGCGAGCGCATGGGCTGAGTCTCGCCTGGAGGAACCCCTTCCCCAAGGCACATCGCAAGCCTGTTCCCCAGGCCTCACCTCCCCTTTGAGGGGACCCCAGAAATCCATCCCACTCCCCAAAAGAAAGCAAAGGCAGTCATTCTTCTCAGCCTAGTCCAGGACATTCCCAAGCAAAGCTGGGGCCAGAGCCCTGACCTTGACCGCAGCAAGTCACCTGTTCTGGCCACACGGTGTGCATGGATCCAGGTGCCTGGACTCAGATGAACCCCCATGGGCGTTGGGCTGGACCCCGAGAAACACATTCCAAAGCTAAAGTGGCCTCTCGCCCCAACCCACTTCCCTCAGTGTGGCTGAGAGATGCCTGATCCCTGATGCCCCAGCTGGGCATCTTCTCCCTGACAGACAGACAGACAGATGGCAGGAGCCTGAATGTCTGCCTGAGCCCCTCCCCCACACAGATGGAAGCCTGCCGGCAGGGCACCCACCATCCTGTGTGCAGGCCCCCAGCAGGTTGATGATGTTCTTGTGTTTTCCAATCATCTTCATCATCTCCATCTCGGAGATCAGGTCCGACAGGTCTTTCTCTGTTGCATCCGCTGCATGGACAAAGCAGAGAAGGGGATGGAGAAGCATTTGCGTCAGAAGGGAGGCCAACAGGATAAAAACTAAGGGAGGGGGATGAGGTGAACACCCAGGGGTCCCTTTCCTCTGGGACTTGCTTCTCTCTTTACACGACCCCTCCCTCGGCCTTTGTTTTTTCTTTTTTTGGCAGCACCACAGGGCTTGTGGGATCTCCTCTGCAGAGCAAGTGCAGAGAGTTAACTGCTTGACTGCCAGGAAGTCCCTTCCCTCTCCTTTTCACATCCAAATTTATCTCCCCTTCCCTCTTATGAGAGCTGCCGGTGTTGCCAAAAAAAAAAACCACCAGGATCTGGGGTCACCACCTGACGGCGGACGCCAAGGAACAAAGTGAGGTCGTGGTGAGATGGCGGGGTGTGCAGTGCCCCCCAACTCCAGGACAACCTGAGCCGGCTGTGGAGCAGGTGCAGGTAATGGCCTGAGGCCCGGAGTTCGCTGGGAAAGGGAAGGGGTCGTTTCTGCAGGGACACAGACACCACATACACTTCAGCATCTTCACGGCCACTTTGGTCACACGGTTGGGTTTGTCCTTGTCCAGCCCGATGGCCTCCGCCAACACCACCTGCCCAAAGCAGCCCTCTCCCAGGGGCTTGCCTAAAACCAGTCTTCAGGGAAACAAACGGTGGGATAAGCTGGAGTGGTAACGTTCAAACCTGACAGGAACCCCCACTCCCCCCCGCCCCCCACCGCCTCCAGTTCCCCCGACTAAGAGCAGACGGTGGCAGTCACTTCTGGATGCTCCCCTGAAGGTCTGAGCCCATACCACTGCCCCCATTAGAATAATGAGCCGGTGGGGGGGTGGTCACCTGTCCCGAGGCAGCTCCCAGCGAGGGTCTTCGGGAAGCTCGTATTCAGAGACCCCGGCCAGCATAGGGGTGCCGCTGGAGGACAGACGCGAGGGTCGAACCAGCAGGACCCCGGAGTTCATGGACGCGCTGGAGTCGGCCGACACCTGCAGGGAGGCGTGGGGTCACCCTTCCAGCAGGATCGGGGGAGCGGTGGCAGGTCCCTCCCCTCCCCGCTCAGGACTTGTTGCTAAAGGCAGTGGTGTGGACCTGGCATCTGGTGCTCCCTCCTAACACAGGCAGAAAGGCCACAGGAGGTTGGAAGACCAAGGTTCTAACACTAACTTATGTTTGCCACCAGTTCGCCTTTCTGGGTTTTGGATTACTCACCTTTCACATGAGCATGAAGCCTGACATTCTGCTGTAACTCATCAGTACAAGAGCAACTCTCTTCCTGTCCCCATTCTTATGTGAAAACCCTGCCATGGATGAGGGGTTCCTGACTCCTGAAGTCCCTTCCAGAATTATCATGGCTTGGAGCGAAGACTGCCTCCTCCTTTCACACACCTTCACCCTCTTCCATCTCCTGGGATGAGGGGAGGCAGGCGCACAGGAGTGAGAGGGCATCTTGTGACCCAGCTCAGCTTCTCTGCTTTGCACATTTGTACCCGTAATGGGCCCTCAGGGGAAGCTCAGATTCATAATATCAACTAGGCATTTAGCCCAGTGAGGATGTCTCCCAGTCCTGAGGCTGGCTGAGCAGGGCACCGTGGTTGAGGTAAGATGGGCTCACAGGATTCATCGGCCAGAAAAGCTTGGAGCCTGACCCCGAGCACTTAGGACATTCCCCTGCTGCCACCTGGAAGCCGGAAACCAAAGTCCGAAGCAGTCAGTGGGGACCATGGAGAGGACAGAGTGCCGGCAGGCCCCGCAGGGAGGACGCACAGGGCGAGGCAGAGGGTGCGAACCCCCCGTCTACTTTCTGTTACCTGTCTGCGCAGAGGGATGCTCTTGGCCAGCTTGTGCACGGCCATCTGGCTGTGGAAGTCACTCTTCTTCGTGCCGCTCTTCATCTTGTAGATGATGACAGACCCCACCATGCAGGAGATAAGGAAGGCCCCCGTGCAATAGATGATGATCTCCAGGTACAGCGGCGAGGTCATCACCGCCGGTCTCTCTTCCAGGGCTGGGTCAGCGTGAACAGGAGGTTAGTGGGCTCAGGGCAGGGCTGGTCCACTAGGGTCCTGGTTCCCTAAGAAGCTCAACATCCATCTCCTATACTCTGGGAATCTGGGGGGCAGAGACTAACCGAGCTAGGTCCTAGCTGGGATTGGGGTCCTGACACAGCACACAGCAGACATCCTGGGATCTGTGAGGCTCCCTGACCCTGACTTGAATCCCCAGAGGGATGGATTGTATCTTGCTAGCCAATGCCCATGCCCATGAACTCAGAAGCCCTCCTGGCTCAGGGACTGCTGGACTGGATGGGTACTTGGTGCCCTGCAAGAGACAGCTGAGGACTCGCTCACGCTAGATGCTTCTCTCAGTGTTCCCATGGACACACAGCCCTTCTCCACAGTGCCCGAGCACTGCGTCAACACCTATCACGGGACAGCGAACCATCCATCGGTCTTTCATTACTGATGGCCCAGGGGTACCCTGAGGGCCCAGGTGGCACCTCATCCATGTCTGCAGGCCACAGCGCCTGGCATCTGGTGGCACTCATAACGCAAAGACAGTGATGCAGGGGGGAAAGAAGAAAACCAGTGTATGTCCCGACTTCATTGCTCAGCTTTGCCTGCGTCATCTCTTATCAGGTCAGACATGTAAACGTCTACATCTAGCCAAACTGCAGACAGAACTTTGCTTCCAAATGTTGTCTGGATTATTAAAGATAAATATGGAAACATCTCTTAAGACTTCCACTCACAGGTCTAACTCCTCACACTGAGGAAGGTCAGGGAGGAGGTAGTTTTACTCTCTTCTCTATTCAAACTCTCCCGCCTCCCACCTGCACTGAAGCCCACACAACTCAAGCCTCTTTCCCTCCCGCACGGAGGTGGGGAGGGTCCCATCCAGCGGGACATCCCTTCCCCCACCCCTCCCCTATTAAAGACCCCTGCCAGCTGCAGGGGCCAGCACCATGAGGACCTCTCCCAGGAGGCCTCAGACATGACCCCAAACCAGCCCAAAGAGAACTCCCCGAGGTGCGATGAGGAACGGCAGAGCTGATAACAGGGAGAAGCGTTTCTGTTTTTCTCTTTCTCTAGCATGGAGAAACAGACGATCCACTGGGAGGCACAACACAGGACAGAGACAGTGACGAAGAGAAAAACAGAAAATGCTTCTGCGCCTCCAGTGGGGCGCACGTTATCAGAGGAGGAGAGGGAGGGACAAAGAAAGAGACCAGAGTCTGCGGGAACCTGAGAACCTGAGAAGCGCCGCACCTGGCTCTAGCCCCGAGGCCACCAGCCCACCACCCTGCCCAGGCTGCAGGCTCCTGCCTTCCTGGCCCGACCCCCACGGCCCCCTCTGGAAAGGAGCTGCGTTGGGAGCCAAAGAGCATAAATGGGCACCACTGAGCCCCCTGGACTGCCTGGGAAAGGACTCGCTCAAAGCAGTTCAAGTCCACTGTCTGGGTCTGGAGGAACCTCTCCCACCGCGATCAGCAACGGGGAGGGTGGAGGGCACTGGTGCTTACAAGTGGCAAGCCCCTCCCTTCAGAGCACCTATATTCAGTTACAGGGGGAGCCTCTCGGAGACTTCAGGGGGCTGTCGATAAAGGAGTGGCTGAGTCAAGGAAGACTGCTGGACCCGAGGAGGGAAGGAGCCTGCCCTGGAGGAGAGCCCGGCTGCAGGTTAGATCCAGATCCCATGCATGCATCACTCTGGCCCCGGGGAGAGACGGAGGCAGGCCCACAAGTGAGAGCAATCTGAGATCCTGCGCCAGGAGGAAGGCTCCGGGGTGAGCCGAGAAAGCCCGACCCCCGAGGCCAGATGACTTGCTGGAGCCACCTGCTGTGTACCCGGAGCCTGGCTCTGCGTCTCCCGCGACCCGTGATGCATGCTCCCCCCGTGCCCCTGGCGAGGGCAGGACATCGAGAGGAGGACAGTGTATACCTTCCAGAACGGTCAGCCATGCAGAGTGATGGGAGAGTCCGATAGAGTTACCCGCCAAGCACGTATACTCCCCCGCGTCCTCAAAGGAGACGTTCCTTAAGTGCAGCACCTCCATCTCTTTGTCGGTGGTGTTAACTCCGGCCGTCTAGAAGAGACAAGGGAGCCACATGGACAAGCCCGGGACCGGAGACCTCGCAGAGAGGGAGGAGGAGGAGGAAAGGGGAAAAACGAATGACCCGAGGAAGAAAGGTTCCCCAGCGTCTCCTTTGCAACAACGGACAGACAGAATCACCAGGCAGCGAGAGACCTGTTAGAGGAAGAGGGTGAGAGCCTGAGGAGGAGCTCGGCAGACCTGACGGCGCGACGCGGATGGCTGGTTACACCCGTCACCAGGCGCGGCAGCCCCGGCCCGACCCGGCATGCGGCGCGAGCGCATGGAGAAATGGGGCCGGCGCGTGGCGGGTTGGTTTCCGGAGGGCACACACAGGAGGGACGGGGTGGGGGCTGCGGACTCACACACACACTCATCCCCCCACACCCTCACACACACTCACCCCCCCCACACCCACACACATACACCCTCACACACATACACACACACTCATATACACACCCCCATACACACCCTCACACACACACCCTCACCCCATACACACACACCCTCACCCCCCCCACACCCATACACACCCCCCACATACCCCCTCACACACATACACACACCTCCATGCACACTGCACACACACACCCATACACAACCCCCACACCCTCACACACTCACCCCCCACACCCTCACACACACTCCCATACACACCCCCCTACACCCATACACACACCACACACACACTAACACACACAGACACACACACCCCCACACTCACCCCCCGACACCCTCACCCCCCCACACCCATACACACCCCCCACACACACTCCCCCCCACCCCCATACACACTGCACACACCCCCCCATACACACCCCCCACACACACTCACCCCACACACACCCCCATACATACACCCCACCCACTGTCCCCCCCCACACACTCACTCCCCCACACACACCCCCCATATCCTCACACACACCCCCCACACCCCCATACACACTCACGCCACACACACACTCACCCCCCACACCCTCAACACACAAAACTCACCCCCCCCACACACTCACCCCACATACACACCCCCCACCCACTGTCCCCCCACACACCCCACACATACTCCCCCACACACACCCTCACATACACACTCATCCCCACACGCCCTCACACACACACTCCCATACACACCCCACATACACACTCTCACCCCTCCCCCACACACCCACACACATACCCCCCCATCCCGCACCTCACACACACCCCACACACTCTCACCCACACAAATACCCCCCTACACACCACACATACACTCTCAACTCCCCTCACACCCAAATAACCCACACACACACCCCACAAACACACACACACCCACACCTCCCCAGTCACACCCACACACACACACCCCCCCAACACATACCCCCCACATCCCACATACACATACTCTTACCACACACACCCCCCATATACACTCACATCCTCACCCCCCCCCACCCCCCCCGTCACCCACAAACACACCCACATACACGGCACACACCCCCCCCACACACACACCCCATCCCCCTACACCCACACCCCACCTCCCACACACACCCCCACACCCTCACACACACACACCCACACTCATACCTCACTCTCACACACACACACACACACACACTCACACATTGCTGCAGACGCTGGTCCTCTCTCCTCTCCATCACTCGGACCCTCGGTCTCCAGGATCACCCAGGACGCACCCCATACACAGCCAAGAACACACATGAGGCACAGAGGGGTGACACCAACACAGAACCAACCAGTCAGCCGCCCAGGCCGGGTATTTTTCCATGGCTCCGGGCACTAGAAACACAGCAGGCCAACAGGGAGAGTGGGGCGCTGGCCTCCCCACAGCTGCCCTGGCAGCTCGGGGCCTCCGTCAAACCCCCAGCACAGGGGCCCCTCCAGCTCCCCGTTACCTTTTGCCACAGGTCTGGTGACTGTGAGCCACGCAGACTGGTTAGCTTCACCAATATAATTGGAAACCTTACACACATACTCCCCGCTCTGGGCCTCTGTCACATTGAACAGGGTCAGGACCTCCGCATCCGAGCTATTTATCCCCGAATGCTGGAACAGACCAACGACACGCCGTCAGTTGGGCCAACACGGAGATGTGGCCATATTTGCTCCCGTGCAGTGTTAAGGTGGGCCTGGGAGCTAAGGCAAGGGGGCTGAGGTGACACATGTCCTCTTTCCCTCATTAGCAGGACGAAAAAGTGGACTTTAAAAATCCATGTAACTGAAAAACAAACTGAATGAAAAAAATCATTGCCCCAAGGAAATGTTTCATTTGTGTTAAACCCCCTCCTCCAGGAAGAGGGCAGAGGTTGCCAATGGAGATGGCAGCCAAGGTCCAAGGCCCCAGGCCCACTTCCTCCACGGCAGTTTCAGTGCCCGAGGTGAGGAGTGCGGTGGCTGGGAAATCTTTGGAACAGCCAAGCCAGGGAGGAGGAGGTCTAAGGCTGGGACCAGGAGGGAAAGCAGGTTCCCAGCTTCTGGTTACTTCCTGTTGCAAGATCCATTGGAGAATTAGGCAATTAGCTTCCCTGGATTAATGGAGCATTCAGGGACATTCAAAGTCTGGGAGTGGGAGGAAAAAAAGGAAGAAAGTGCCATTACTCCTGAAACCGCTGAGGACTGACCTGTGGCCTCGGCTTTTCCAGCCCTACCTAAGCTAAGCCATGCCTGGCATCAGCCCATGTGCCAGAAAGGACGTGACTTGGGAAGCAGGGCACAGACTGGGAGATGCTTGCTGGGAAGGCTGTGGTAGTGGGCAGTGGGACAGCAGAGTGCCAACGCCTTCCCGGAGAAGCTGACCCAAAAGCCTGGGCATGATCACCGTCCAAGCTCTTCAGAAGCCAGCAGTGCTCACCCCCAGCCCTCGGCGCCCCACAAGCCTTCACCCATGACCTGCCACTGGTCCTTTGGAAAGTGGCTGGGGCCCCATGTAAGATGGAGCCTGGACCCAGTAGAAGGACCGGGGCCCAATCGCGGGGACTGGGCCGGACCCCAGCCACCTGGGTCCCAGGCAATACGGGCCTCCTTCCCTGAGCCCAGCCCATGGAGACTGGAGCCAGGATTACCTTCAAGATCTGGACATAAGGCAGGTTGTCCGGCCCAATCTTACTCCCGTTCACCTCGATGTGCTTCAGCCACTGGATGTGGGGTTGCGGGTCGCTGTACACCTTGCACATGAACTCCACGTTGCTGCCCAGGGCCACGGTCTTGTTGGCCGGCAAGCCCGCCTGCAGGATGGGCCGGTGAGGGGACCGCTCTGCGGGGGCACGGGACGGGAGAGGGTCGTCAGGCCCTGCCGTGGCCGCTCCTGGCTGGGATGCCGAAAGAGCATCCCAAGGACCAGCACAGCCTACCTGCCTGTAACTAAACCCACAGTCACTCAGACTCTTGCTGTTCAGTGTGGTCTGGGAACTGCAGCGCCAGCTTCACCAGCCTGTTAGAAACACTGACCCTCAGATCCTACTCCGGACCTACTGGATCACAAGCTTGTATTTTTTTTTTTTTTTTTTGGCTGCACTGCATGGCTCGCAGGATCTTAGTTCTCCAACCAGGGACTGAACCGGGCTGTGGCAGGGAAAGTACCGAGTCCTAACCTCTGAACCTCCAGGGAATTCCCCAGAAGCTTCTTTGCATACCATATCCTCAAAGCCAAGGCAGAACAGTGGCTGCAAAACTCTTTACCTTAAGGTCGCCAGAGAATGAGATCCAGAGCCTCTGGAAGGCAGAGGCTGCACCACAGCACCAGGAGGCACGGCGTTCTTCCTGGGGTCTTGTGCAGTGCCAGGAGTCTGTGTAGACTGACCTCTCTGAGCCTCAGTGTGCCCCTCTGTACAATGGGAACAACAGCGCCCACCTTGCAGGGCGCTAGAAGAATTGCCTGTGGTGTATTTACTGTACCTGGCAGACCACTCGCATCCATGGAGTGGCAGCTACTATTAAGCTAGATTAACCACCACTATGCCAGTCACCTCCTGCAGGAGAGACTCAACAGCACTCTCCCCTTTACAATGAACCTGTGGTACCGCTGATCCTCCCAGCTCTACTGATGGATGAGAAAAGGGAGGTGTAAAAAAGGAAGGTGACAGAGCTAATAAATGCCACAGCATCCTGACTCCACCCCTAAGTGAACATGGCTGCCAGGCTGTGCTCTCCGCATCCCTGCTCCTTCCACCAAGCTCCTCCTCCTGTCGCCACCCTCTTACCCACGACATCGAGCTGGTAGGTATGGTTGATGCTGCCGTATTCGTTCTCCACGATGCAGGTGTAGTTGCCCTTATCAGAAGGCACCACGGAGTCCATAATGATGCTCCAGGTGGCATAACGGACCTGAGGGGAAACATGCAAAGGGCCCCACTGTGGGTCTGGAGGGAAAGGTGGGCAGAAGCCACGCAATCTCCAATCAGAGCACGCAGCCCGGCTACACAGGGAGCCGGGGACCGTCATCCCAGTCCACTCATACTCTGCAAGAAGGCATCAGGCAGAGGGGTGTGAGGACTCGGAAAGTCTGCCCGCCACGGCCAAGGCCATCTGCAATCTGGACAAACGTGCCTTCCCAAATACATTGTGAACTTTCCCAACCCTGCACCCCTCTCCACACTGCTCTTGTGCCAGAGCAGCGTCCTGCTAAGAGTCCAGCCGTGTCCACCCTTGACATCTCGTTTCAGAGTCCGTCTGCTGTTCTCCTATCCTTCTGTGCCTCACAGGTGCAGTGCTCCCATTAGACAGAATTCTGTATGGGCAGGACGCTGCCTCATAAGACCCAGAGCATTACACACAGCAAGTGCTGGGTGAGTTATTTTATAAACAGTTTATTTTTCTGACTTCCTTTGCTTCTCTTTTTTAATATCTATGTATTTTGGCTGCGCCGGGTCTTGGTTGCGGCATGTGGGATCGCGTTCCCTGATCAGGGACAGAGCCAGGCCCCTGGCTTTGGGAGCAAGGAGTCTTGGGCACTGGACCGCTAGGAAGCCCCTCCTCTACTTTTCTCATGCAAGATTAACGAGAAAAGAGCAACTAGGTGAGATGGAAGAGAAACAGGAATGGTGAGAATGATCACAGGGTTTAAAGGAGGGTTAGATGAAGACATTCTTCCTATAAATGGGCAAAGACTTGAACAGTTTCCACAACAAGAAATGGAAACCACTTATGAACACATGAAAATTCTAAGTTTGTTCCTAAGCAAAATAGCCCACAAGAGAACAATTTGATATTCTCACCTGTCAAATTTGTGGGCAAAAGTATAGCCAGTTTATCATTCTCATACTCTGCTATGGGAAGGCGAATTCATTTTCCCTTTTAAGAAAGTAACTGTTACCACAATAAAATAAAATAAAATAAAAAATCACACCCCTACTCATTACATCATCTTCCATTAGAGCAAATGTCACAGTAAAATTTTATGTCTTCCCATTGTACTTTGAACTCTATTGCCTAATATATTTTCTAGAAAGACATGTATACACGAAATGTTGGTGTAAAAAATGAATAAGTGAACAAATGAATAAACTTACCTAACTTTATTAGGGAAAAAAAAATTTGGGTAACATGCATCAAGAGCTTAAAAATGCTTATACTTTGCTCTAGTAACTTCCAGCAATCTGTCCCTAAAGAAGAATATTTTAAAATATTGACATAACTACAAAGATATTCACCATAACATTATTTACAGCAGTGAAAAACTGGAAAATAACTAGTATCACAAAATAGTTCATTAAATTATGGGGCAATTAATACTGGGATATTATAAAGCCATGAAAAACTGTCTTTCAAATACATGGCAAAAGACTCATAACGTTAACAACTGGCAAGAAATTAGATAGATAACGTGATTGACCATGTAAAAACCACATATGTAGAAAAAAGACTAAAAAGACAAGTTTATCTGCTTTTTTAATATTTGAAAATTTTCTAGAGTGTTGTTTAAAATTATTTAAAACAATTAAAGGCATATAAGTAAGGATTTTCTAAGCAGCGTCTCTTGCTCGCCTTATTTCAGCTTTCTGGAGTAAGTAAAAACCCAGGTACCTTGTAGCCTCCAATCCTGTGGTCGGGCTTGAATTCTTTGCCATTTTTCAGCCAGCGCAGCGTGGGGTTTGGGGTCCCACTGGAAGGGCATTTGAACTTCACTGTCTTGGCAGCTGGCACTGCATGCAGTTTCTTTTCCATCTTTTCTGGCGACGTCCAGTACGGAGCCACGGCTGCCCAGGGAGAGCGGAGAGAGACAGACAGGGCCTGGTCAGGCTTGGGGGAGGCCCCACCCACCTGCTTGCCACCTGGGAACGACGCCCGCACCGGTCCGGACCCCGGAGGGGTGGTCCCCCGGGCCAAGTGTCGTGCCCCGCCACCCCTTCCTTCTCCGGTCGTCTGTCCGAGCTTCCCCCTTTCCGTCCCAGCCCAACCCCCGGGCCTGGAGGCCAGAAAGGAAGGAAGCAGTGTCTCACGCATACGGTTTGGTTTGGTGTTGTCCGTCTCCTTCTCCTCCGAAGAGGAGTCATCATCGTCGTCGTCGTCCTCCGATGAGGGGAGCGCATCTAGGGCGAGAGGGAGGGGCGCTGAGGTCCCTCCCCAGGAGAGGACGCTGCAGCCGGCATCCAGTCCACAGCCGCCCGGGGACGTCAGGGCCAGTCCAGCAGCAGCCGAGCGCAGCGGCCGCTCCCCACACTGCCTCCCGGGCTCACGCCTCCCTCCACGGGACAGACACGGTTTATGCAAGAACTGCAGGCCCTGTACCTGTCCCCCTCCTCGCAGACACGGTTTATGCAAGAACTGCATGCCCTGTACCTGTCCCCCTCCTCCGCCGACCCCAACGCACCCCTTCCCTGCCCCGAAGCCTTTACCCCGGGCAGCTCCATCACAGAGGACAGGTGGGGTTCTCTTCAACCTAACTCCACCCCGCACGCAGAGGCTCACGCCGCGTCTCAGAACCAGCAGCCAGGGCACCCAAACCCTCCTTTGGAAACCCAGACAGATCGAGGCACTGTGGCCAGAAGCCATTTCCGAAGCCCTGGGTCGAATGCTCTGGAGTCGCAACATTTCTAGCATGTGTCCGCTGAGGTCGGGGAACTGCGCTTCTCAACCAGAGTGGACAGGAACCCGCAAAACAGTGGGCAGCTGCCAACGCCTGCCCCCAACAAGTATCCACCCCTTTGAGCATGTGGTCACCCATCAAGGTTCATGCCAGATCTTTCCCCAGTCCTTTCTAGTTGTTTTGGGGGCATCTGGAGGGAAGTGAAGGAGACACATCCCTCCGCTGCGGAGGGGGGCGTTCTAGACGATGTTTGGCGGACGGAGGAGAGGCCAGGCTTACAGCCTGAGATGTATAAGTGGTGTAAAGAGAATTCCAGCTCTACTCAGTTCAGTCCTAAGGTTTTGTAAAAGTCACATCCTACAAGTGGCAGGTCCCCAGAGTCACAGAGCTCTAGGGTTCCTTGGCTGCCCTGACACAGCTCTGGAAGCTAGAGAACACGTGTCTCCCATCAAGCCGTGACTACGGTGGAGCAACTGGGTCATCCCCCATCCCATGGGGACCTCACCACAAATCTGGGGGCACTGATGACCAAGCCTAGCACCAAGTCCAAACAGCCAGGGAACAAGAGTTTGGAAGCTGCCTGAGCCCTTGGGCACCCCCAATGACCTGGGCAGGCTGTGCTGGAGAAACCACCGTGCCTCACTGCCCCCCAGGGTGTCAGCGAGCACCCCCGAGGTGGGTCCAGGCAGCCCCCTGCTCTCCGACCCGACCCGAGGCCGGCACCCCGAGTCACCCCTTGAGAGCTAAGCCACGCAGCGGGCGGGAGCGATGTTAGTGGGTGGCAGCTTATGCAGCAGAAGGGGGGTGCGGATGACGGCAGAGGAAGAGGCCGGCCTCCCCCTGAGACCAGCAGAGAGGGAGGCAGGGGCGGGGAGAGGCGGAGGGCGGACTTGGCTACCCACCTGAGACGTTGACGGAGAAGTAGGTGGTGTCGCTGCCGGAGGGGCTGCTGGTCACGCAGGCGTAGAGGCCTGAGTCGGCGGGCACAGAGCCCCGAACCTCCACCTCCTCCCCGGTGATGCGCGTGCGGTTGCTGTCCGCCAGCTGCACCCCGTCCCGCAGCCAGTTGATGCTCTGAACATCGTCCCGCAGCCGGCAGCGGAGCTGCAGCAGGTCACCGGGGTGCACCAGGAGGGACTCCACTTCCACGGGGGCTCCCCAGGGCTGGGCTGCAGCCGCCGCAGGGACCAGGAAGAGGGCAGAGGGAGCAGGGGGCAGGAGGGGTGGGGAAAGACAAAGGCATTATGCCGGCCGCACGGAGCCGCAGCGTCCCCGGGGGCGGGGTACAGAGCTGGGGAGGCGGGTCAGTCGGGGGGACGGCTGGCTCTCTGGGCACCCAAGGCTTCCTGTCCAACCCAATTCCTCCAGAGGGCAAAGAAGACAGAGGCAAAGTTAGGAAGCAGCTGCAGCAGCATTAAGCAGTTCAGAGTGGGTTTCCCTCCATCTTTTGGTGGGGGGGAGGCAGCTGGCCCTCCCTGGGACCCCTGTGTGTCTAAGAGCACCCCTTCCCCACACACGCAGCTCTTTACCAAGAGCGGCCGCTTCCCAGGGGAACACTCTGTTCGCTTTCGGGTGGGGCAGCCTCACCCCTCTCCCCAGGAACAAGCCCCCACCAAAACGCAGCAGCCCCCCATGTGGGGGGCAGCGTGTCATGGGCGGGGCTGTAGAACCAAGTGATCAGTACTGGAAGGGGCTCTGAGCCCTGCAAGAAGTCCGATGCACAGGGTGTATACGCAGGAGGGATGGCCCGAGGAGAGGTCAGCTCAGGGGAGCCTCTGGCTAACAGGTGTTGGGCCAGAGGATTCGGAGCTTTTGACTATATTAGGAACGGAGGCCGGCAGCTGCCACAAAACCCACACTTGCCCTGGCAGCAAAAGCCGCTCTACACAAAGCTCCTTTCTCCTCGCCCCACTGCAGGGCTCCCCCTCTCGAGCCCCCCACCTCCTCTCCACTGCCCTCCCCTGACACGCAGGCACACACACCCATTCCCCCTCACTGCTCCCCGACCCCACCCTGAGCCCGGGGGTCAACACACCCACCCCTCTCGACCAGCAATGCTGAACTCACACCAACAGGAAGGCCTAAGGCTGGACACAGGATAAGGACACCTTTGGGGCGGACCTGTCTTCTCCCGGGCACCACACACCCATCTCAGGACTTGCATGCCTGCTCCTGGCATCTTCCGCCCTCTGTCCGGCCTCCACCAGAACAACACACCTGCGGTAGCTCACACCCACCACCGGCCTGGTTTCTCTGCCTTCTGCAGCCTTCTTTCTTTCTTACCCCCGGTTCGCCACCAGAGGCTCGCCGGCAGCCCACTTCAGGTCCCGGAGGCTCTGAAAGGCACCTGGCTCCGCCGCCCTGGTGTCTCTGCTTGGCTCTCCACCCACCCTCTGGTTCTCAGCCTGGCTGGAAACTGCCCCAAAGGCCTTTCTGACCCCAGTCTGGGTCAGGGGCCCTCCCCTCACACTTGTTGCCCTGGAGGAGAGTCCCCTTTCTCAATAAGGTTGCCAGAGTCGGGACATGTCACATTTACCTTCAAACCCCATCACCCAGGAGGGCCCTGGCCCACGAGAGCTGCCATCAAAAGCTTGCTGAATAATCTGACAATGATGCACTGTCTCTCTGTCGTCTTCCCTTCCAAACTCCGCTTCTCCTTCACCACCTCATTTTAACCCACTCTTTCTGAAGTCCCCACCAGGTTTCTGCTAAAAAACCTCACTGATGAAATGCGTCCCGGGCACCAGGGACTAACAGTAGCTTTTTGGAGGGGCCTCAGATGAGGCTCCGAGGCCATGGCTGCAGGCCGGGTGCCCCTTGACCCAAGGGCTCTGTCCTAAATCCTATGTAAATACTGAGTCATCAAAAAGGAGGTGCTGGTGTAAAAGGGTTTGGAAACAAACCACCAGGTCTGCACTCATTTATTTTTGTGAATCAGGTCAAGAGGGACACCACAAAGGTGAGCAGACCACACATTGATTAAAAATAAGCTTTTGTGGGTCTTGGGAAAAAAAAGTTTTTCTTTCCATTTTTAATGGTTTGTGGTTTTACCAAGAGAAGGCAGAAGAAAAGCCATTCAGACTTGACCCTTAGGGAAACAGAAGACGCTCCTATGGATCAAATCTCATTTTCCTGCAATGACCTCACTGATTAAATATTTTGCAGCTCATGATCTGTACCAGCCGGTCGAACAGTAAACTCGGGTAAACTCAAATTCTTAGCCTCTGGCATCACAGCCTATTTTGACAAGTCTCAGAAACAAATAGGTAGCGGGAAGAACAGGGGTGTTGCCCCAAGAGAAAGCAACAAAGGGAGACTCGGCTCTGCTGGGACCAGCTCAGGCTGATCCCAGTTGGATCTGAAACTCCCCGCTCTTCCTGGCCAGGATGCGCGAACAGAACTCTTCTGCGTGATCTATATAAAGCCTCAAGAGCCAGCTTACTTGTCCCTGTCCTGGAGGTCAAGCTCACCCCGATGCACCAGGCCACAGTGTGCTAGTCCCGCTCCTTCTCCTGATCAATGTCGAAGGCTGTGCAGAGGGTGAACTCTAACCCCGTGCTCTGCCTTCAAGGCTCCTCTCAGTCTGCTCCCTCCTCCCCATGTGACCGTCTTCTCCCCACCTTCCACGCCAAGTCTGGCTGTTTTCTGCACTAACCGTATTCTGCAGCCACAACAAAACTGACTTCTGCTCAAGGCTGTTGGGCATCTCTCTAGAACCCTCCTACCTACCTGCTCAAAGTGCACCATTCAAGACACCCACCCTCCTTTCCTGTAAAAACTGTTACCATCTGAATAGCACAAATTTGCATTTAATTCCATGCCATCTTGCACTGTTGCTTTTTCAAACATCTTTACTGAGATATAATTCACGTATCATAAAATTCACCCATTTAGAGTGTATCATTCAATACTTTTTAGTATAGTCACAGAATGCAAATATATCACCACGATGTACCTTTAGAACATTTGCATCACCCCCAAAAGAAACCCCATACCCATTAGCAGTCACTGACTATCCCCTCCCCCTCCACCAGCCGAGGCAACCATCGATCTGCTTTGTCTCTATAGATTTGCCTGTATTAGATAGTTCATATCAGTGGACTTGTGCAATATAGTTTTTTTGTGTCCTCCTTTCTTTTAGTATGTTTTCAAGGTTTTCTCATGTTGTCTTATGTACTTTATTCCTTTTACTGGCCAAATAATATTCCATTGTGTGTGTATACCACATTTTATTAATCTAGTTGTTGGCTGATGTACATTTGGGTGTATTTTTTCCTAACTGTCAAAAGTATCCATGTCTTGCCCAAGAAACAAAAGCAACTCAGACCAACAGAGTGGTCTATTATAGTTTTCCACGGTGCCTAACAATGTCAGAAATACAGAAAAATACTCAGTAGGTCTTGAAGTTAGCATCTGGCAGAGACTAAATTTTAGAGGAACTGAAAACAGTCTTCTCAATTTAAACCAAAACCTACGGCTCTTGGTTTATGGTGGGTTTTTTTCACGGCTAATAGTGCTCTTGGATGTGTGTCAAAGCCTCCATTTACAAAGCAGGTAAATGCCACTTTCTTTGAGGAGGTAATGGAAAGGTAACTGACCACCTGCTGGTTTACTGGGCCCTACCCCTCTGCGTCACTGCCTGGAGTAGCAGCCCTGACCCTGGAGCATCGTCCGTAAGGCAACTGATGCGGGCATCCCTGCTCACTGGCCGCCTGCAACAACCAAGTCATTACTCTCCATTCTCCTGCGGTCTTTGCAGGGTCCCCCATTTATGTCCCCGTTGGAAAGGCCCTTGCATCTGTGGCTCCATCTCCACTGAGATGGCCTTTCTCTGACCAGGACCCATGGATCAGGGCTCTACGTGCCGTTAGGCATCAGGGAGCAAGAAAGGAGCTGACACCTTTATTGGGCTGGCCATGACTGATGAAGAAGAGAAAGCAGTTTATTGGGCAGCAACTTGAAGGACATTCCAACGCTTGATGAATTGGAGTGAGGAGGCTGCGGGGGAAGCTGCAAACCCACACAGTTGCTTTGTATGTCCTGCTTCCTGACAGATGAGGTGGGCGACGGAGGCTGGGGGACATTGGGTATCTGTATTCCGTGGGGACCAGGCCTGAGGCTGAAAGCGCTTGGTATGAGTTTCACTCCGACAAGCTCTGGGTGCAGGGTGCTTGGGGTGTCCTGGAGAAAAATGGTGCATGCTGCTTCCACGTCCACATCAGATCGTCACCGGGAGCAAGAAGGTTAGGGTTAGGGTTGGACCTGACTTGCACACCCTTAGAAGATCAAGGGTGCCCTGGCCATCTCTCCAGAAAACAGGAGGGAATGAAGGCTCCTGCTTAGCTGCCTGAATCTGGGGGCTGAGGAGGACTCTGGTCCCGGGGCAGCTTCTAGGGCAGCAGGTGGACCATGGAAGGCCGTGTTGGCTGGACCCAGGACTCTCTTAGTGGGAGGGATGGGGGTTCAGACAGCAATCACCAGTCCCATCTGCTTCTCTAATGGAACCTCTCCACCCTTCAAGGGGAACTAGGAACAGATCAGGGACCCACACGTTTTAGTAATCCTCAAGGAAGCAGCTAGAAAAACAGAGGTGAGAGGCGGTATTTCTCAAGTCTAGGAATGTGATCAATGTTAGTGAGGACCTACGGAATCCCTCTCCCTCCCTACTTTCCTCCAAAACACCAGGGCTCTGTAATTGCCAATGAGCCAACAGGATATAGCAGTTGGCTCATGGCAGGACTGGGCCAGAAATCTGCCACTGCCATCAGCAGGCAGCTCTGTCCTGGGTTCATCTGTTCAGATCCAAGTTCTTGATTCTAAACTCTGAGGCTTCTGCCAGCCCCGGGCATGGTGCAGGATGGGCAATGACCAGAAGGAGGCTCAAATCCATACAAACGTGGTCATTAGAAGATGAGACCCCAGTTTCCCCCAAATCCAAGAAGACAGGGATTTCTCCAGAATGGCTATCAGCGGGTGTCTCTGTGAGCCCTTGCTGCTGTGAGAGGTATGTCGTGGATTAAAATAAGGAGCAAAAGAGCTGGTCAGCCTTGGGCTAGCCAGGGTGATAAGATTTACACAGTACCTGGTTGGTATGGAGTACTTTATCATACAACACGAGGTAACGGGAGAAGAATGTGAGAGCCCCGGACAGGTGACCCAGCACAGGCTC